ATCAATAATCACCGTAAAAATGATGATAGATGGGTGCAAAAACCATGGTGTATTCAGTTATTGCGCATCAGAACTTCAGCGTTTTGATTTTGATAGGCACCGCTTTTCAGACTTTTGTTTGTTTTCCTTGCACCTCCGCATAATTCCTGGCCAACACAGGTTGGAAAATGCAGTTATCTCGCCTGCTGGCCAGGTTTCCGGTGCAGCTGACCAGTTCAACTCCTGCGTGCGAGCGCCGTGCGGCGCAAGCAGGGGGCGCCACAAAATGGCTAGCGGCGGTACATTCCGCGTATCCCTGGCGTTATTTTATTGGCGTCTTTAGCGCTATGTAGGACGTTGTCTTATTGCCTGCTACCGATCAACTTTTGATGCCGTTGCGCTCTTTAATATTGCTTCGCAAAAGAGTGCTAATCGTTATGTCACGATGAGGAATGGTTGAATGTACTATGGCAGCCACATGGAATATTAGTATGCGGGCAAATAAGAAAACGCACAACTGCGTACATTGCTGACACATAGCACTCCTTTTGTCATTCAGATTTTGCCCTTGATTGCTAATTGTTTGTTCCTGCCGCCGTCCAACATTGTTGCAGTGCAAGAATAGATTGGACTCATTCAGTTACATCATTATGAGGGGAAAACATGCCCTCAAATGAATTAAATGCGCATCATATGAGCACCGCCCCAGCCCAGCGCAAGTCAATTTGTTTTTTTATCATTGCATTTGTACTTTTTTTCTGCACCGCCATTTGTATGTGTGCCCACATGTGATCGCTTGTGATTCCATATTTGAATCGCGGTACATGACAATATATCCATGCGAAAGAATATAAATCCGGGATGCAGCATCCCTGGCATATTGTTCAACCAGACACACGCGTCTTTTGAACTCTATTGAATTTCTTTGATTCCTGAAACATTTAGTTTGAATAATGCATGTTGTTGCTGCCAAATGCTGTGGAGACCCGGATGACAATGTGCATAGACCCTTGCGATTGACATAACACATGTCGACACATTGTATGATGAGCAACATAAGAAGTGACAGCGCTTCAAAATCGATGCAACGACTGTGAAAAACAGCGCTTAATGGCATGCGCCCACCAGATAGAAGAACTCCCTCTTCATCCCCGAGCCCAACCAGCGCTCCAAGCACGGGTTTCTCGTTGCACAGAAATTCAAAAACTGGGTCCAGTGCCACGCCACGCGATAGAGGTCGCTGCGTCTCTATGTATTCGGTAATCGCTTTTGTCGAATACTGCGACGAACTGAGCTCCGGTTCATGTGCTGTGAAGCAATTCATTTTGGGTATGCCGTCCGTGAGGCATACGATATCTAATCCCCCGGACGGCTTAGGTACCTGTGGCAGCCGGGAGCCACCATCGTCAGCATACGCACATGGGCTGAGTTCTTGTGCATGATGCCCATTGATTAAAATTCTTCGGGAAACGACAGTATGTTATTTACGTTACTTTGCTTTTTTTTTGTCTACGTTGAAGCAAACAATTGGAAAAGATTTCGCCAAAGTATACTAAGACTTGCAAAGATGTACACCTCTTCCAGAAATTCAAATACTACTTATAGTACTATCATTGGAAGAAAACTGTGCAGCTGAAGCGCTCAAAGGCTACTCTTATTCAGGAATTGTGTTTGCAATACGAAACACCGATAACACCATATACTCCTTCAACGCACGACTGCTTGATTCTGCATTTTCTATGTCACTTTCCCTCAGATATCTCATCCGAAGAAGTATACCAACCCATGCGCACATCACGCATACTATGGTAATGGTTTTCGCCAGTACTGACCCTGACATATGAATCTGCGTAAATCAGCGTTCCCAGCAGCTCCTCTGCGTTTCCCTCTCTGCCAACGCTCGACAGCGCCACGCGAATGGACTCCAGTCGCGGAGCCCCGGCCCCGCATCCGGAGTCCGCCACCACGCCGCCAATTCTTGGGTGCCATAAGTCGACCGTCAGGTTGTCAATCAAGCCCCTGTTCCGGTGGTACGAAGCAGAAAAACTGGCGGTGGAACACAACACGGGACACCTTCTCAGGCAATTTCGGGATCTGCTTTCTTGCTGGCGTTCTCGTGACATATTTTTGCTAACGTTTCGCACTCTCGTGGCCGCGAAATTGGAAGACAAGAGTATCTGTAGTATATTTTTCTTTGCATCATGCAGGAGAGCTTCATACGCAGCGTGGCGCTTTCTGCATATCCGTTGCGCTGATTCTGTGAGGCCAATTTCTGTATGTTGATGGTAGCCAATCCACACATCCCCACATCGGTGTGATGCGCAACGGCGCAGTCCACATCACAGATGGTGGAGCGATGCAAGGCAATTTCGCTCTGAAATGCTCGGGCTGGTCATTGGAATGGGCGCGATGAAAAAAGGACATTGACATCGTTGATGACACAACGGTAATATCCACTTTTGACAGCGGAAGCGCTGTTGAAGCCCGCCCCACTCCCCACCCTCCCCTTTCGACGACAAATGGTACATGGCCAAAGCACTCAACGCTCAGCCTCGTAACCTCCCTCCCCGGATGGATTTCTTTCCCACATTATTTGTATCCATCATTTACATTTGCGCAGTTCACGCAAGATACTCGACGGATCAATCAATTTCACACCAGCAAAAACTTATCTCGATTGCCACCTATGCAGTCCATGGCGACTCGACCAGGCGGTACACAGCAGTGCTGTTGTTGCTGGTGCTCATGGCCCAGAAACAGCGTTGGCGCACTGTGAGTTTCGAGCGAGGCTAACAAAGTTTCCCAAGTGCCGCAGTGCTCGTTGCGTTTAACGCATCTGAGAAGGGCGCAGTGCCACCCTTCTGCAGACTGAATTTCGTTAGGATTCCAGCAACAGACCGGCCGAGCTGGACTCACCCGCGCGGAAGACGCCATGATGTCCTTGGCGGTGGATATCATTGCCGAATACAGCTTCATGAGATAAGTAACCTCGGCGCCCACGCACAGGTCGCTGTCCTGAAGCTCTGGCGACCTTCGCGATGGATTGTGAGTGAGACCCACAGCCGGATCTTGATCTGGCAGCAGGGCGCGGTGATTTTCAGAAAGATGGCGGAATTTGGCATTCAAGTCATCAAAATTGTTGCTGGTATTCTCGTGATTTATTGCTCCTTGCAGCTGGTCGATTGAACGTGCATAACACAAGCACGCTGGAGTGGCGCGCCGCGTCGACATCAAACCCGCACTCCAAAATTGGAGCACTTGTCGTCGGAACTGATGCGCCACTGGCGTGATTTGCGACCACTGCTCTCCATCGCTTCCCTTGCTCAATGGCGAACATTTTCATGCTCTACGTCATTGCTGTACATGCGAAATTGCACAAAGCATTGGCATTCGATATTTGCTTTCAACAACCGAAAGTCTGAAGGGCTACACGCCCCCTGATGTGTACCTGGACATAGGGTGCCCAGCGCCGTGCCGTGGCCTAGAAAATACGTTCTCCCCACGGTTATCCCGCTCTTCTCGTCGCGAGCCTCGCAAATCAAATGGAGGGGAACGGAAACACCTCCGCCACAAACCGGCCCGCAGACACCCTCCTCCACACGATCCCTTCTGCCAAATGCGTCGCTGCGCTTCCCGAAGGCCAAAAAGAGCGGCTCGCCTTCGGAGCCCCTGGCGTTCCTGTGGTCCAAAAATGTCGCCAGCGGCTCCTTCACCTCCTCGTGCGTCAGCGACGCGATGTCGCCATGGGCACGCCTGCGGACGGTGTCGGACATCTCCCCCCAGTGGTGCCTCATCATGGGCGCCGCCGTGGCGAGCAGCGACGCCAGGGATGCCGAGTCGAGAGAGGCGTACACTCGCTGGAGGCTCGGCAGAACGTCCACCACCTGCAGTTCCATGGATGGCGTTGGCACGCAAGTAAAACTCGGCAAAAGCACACGGTTTTGAACCATGTAAGAATCGCGCAAGACCGTGTCAAAACGTGTAAAATCATGCACACGCGCTCAATCGTTGCTACACGGTCTGCTCTCATTTTCATACGGTAAATACACGAATGACACACGATTGAACTCGAGTCACTAGGAGAAAAAGGGCCGAAAAACACGTGTTCAAACGTGTACAAAGTTTACGGGTTTGTGCCATTTTTGTGTTCTTAGCGTGCAGGATTCTGATGAAATGTGTTTTATGCGCGTTCCCAAAAGTGTTATTTGGTCCTTTTTCTGTTAGTGAGTTCTGCACGAATTTCAATTAATTTAAAGGATTTACACTGTACAGGTTCTTCGAAACCGTGTATTTTGGTCTTTTTTTACTAATGTGGTGAAGCTGGCGTGTGTCGTGGATGCGCAGTAAGAACTGGGCGAAATGCATTGTTTGTTTGCCCGCGAAAGACACCCAGGAGGGGGCTTTTGTGTGTCGCGTGACGTGCTCCTGGTGTAGGGTAAGAAGCACTCTTCCCCTTCACCCGGTGCACCTTCTAGTTGTGCACAAACTACAAAAAAAATAGAATCTGTTTGTATAGTACTGAAGTAATAGCCAGAAAATGCCTGCAACTATATTTCTCTCCGAAAAGTCCGTTGCAAAGTCCGTCCGAAGTGTGTTCTTTCTTCGCCGAATTCTGCCCGGCACCTATGGGACACGCATGAGAATATTCCCATGCGACCCCATTTCGACCGATGAATCGGTTGAAAAGCTCCCTTGGCCCACGTTCCGGATGACAGTGCATTGGCGATGTGGCTTCTCGCAGCTACTGCAGTCTCTTTACTGGCCTGCGTTGTGGGTTTAGGGCACACCAATTGCTGAAGGGCTGTGATTCCACCAGAGAGTCTGCAGCACTAATTAGGTGTCCCCGGGGCTCTAGAACAGGATGCGCACACCCACCTGCCCCCACCCGGGACCCAATCACCTCGGGAGGTGATTGGAAGCACGGGTCTACGTCCTATTTGTTGCCACCATGTTCACAGCGCACTCCCAAGTCCAAAACCAAAGTGAGGGAGGGGCGTCAGCAGCAAAAAGAAAAAGGCAGTTCAGTCTTTAGAACTCGGCAGAATGACATAAAAGATGGCAAAACAGCGAACAGACAAAGCGACGAAGAGACGGAGAGACGAAAAGACGGAACACCCAGCGGGGCCTTTCCGTTTCGTCTTGTCGTCTGAACGGCGCGGCACCTCGTAGTTCATCGTGAAGAAGCCGTCCTTGCCCACGCCGTCCAGGCCGCACGCCTGCACCAGCGGCCACCTCTCCGCCTCCATGCGCGCCCCGGCGGCGCCGACCCCCAGGGGCAGCCCCACCCGCCTCACGCCCGCCAGCATCTGCAGGAACGCCCAGATCCTCTCCCCCTCACCCGCATCCCGGCCATCGTCACCATCCTCGCCATCCTCCGATGGGCCCTCCGCGCGGAAGGTCCTCGCGGTCTCCCGCAGCGGCCCCAGCAGCGCCCAGGCCTGCGCCATCGACCGGCCGTCGCAGCACAGGCGCACGTCCTGCGGGCGGACAGGTTGATGGGGATGAGCGAGGCCTTCCACACGGCGCGGCGAAACATTTCGGGAGGCGGTGCTGAAATGGGAGGAGATTGGATGGAAGAGGATAGCAGTGCCAAACATTCTGTGCACAATCAGCACCCACTGCTTGCTCCAGCAGTGTTGAAGGCCGGAGAAGACAGGACGGAAATGGATAGCAGCCGTAAAGACTCGGTGCCCAACCAGTGCTTTATTGCACCCACTGTGTGCTTCACAGGTTTGGCGATCTGTGCTGAAAAGGGGAGGGACAGAATCGGGCCGCAGCACTGACGAGTCAGTGCCCAACCATTACTTCCCTGAGCCCACTGTGCTCTCCAAAAAGGTTTGGCGCTCGAACGCGCCCTCATTGCACCCACTGCGCTTCAAACAGGTTTGGTGATCACTAATAAAGGCGGAGGGAGACAGGACAGAATCGAACAGCAGCACTGACGACTCAGTCCCCAGCCATTAGTTCGCTCCTCACAGTGTTTGCTCCAAAGAGGTTTGGCTTTCGAGCGCCGCACGTCGGCCCTGGAACAAGACGCCGGCGCCCAGCGCCCGATCGAGCCGGCTCATTGGACGGTCTGATTGCCATTGCGACGGCTCACCTCTGGCGTGACCATGAGCACCAGGTCGCGCAGGTGTGGCGCCAAGGGGGGCGTGTCCCTTGGGTCGGTGTCGCAGCGGCCCTGGAACAGGTAGGCCAGCGCCTGCGCAGATCCCAAGTTGTACCTGCCGTCGGGCCCCGCCACGAAGAGCAGGGCGTCCAGGTCCAGGTCGGCGCACAGGCGCTGCAGCCTGCGCAGGCGGGGGGCGCAGGGCGGCGACGGGCCGCAGGGCCCAGCGCGGGGGGGACCCATCTCGGGGCGGGACGCCTTGGCAGGGACGTGAGGGGCTTGTGGCGGGGGGGCAGGGGCGGGGGTGGCACGGCGTGACGACTTTGTGGTGCTGGGCTTTGGAGGTTGGGGCAGGGGGTGGCAGGGTGCGGCAGTGAGGGACGGTGAAGAGAGGACGGTTTGTTGATCATCATTAAATCTCGGGGGGCCTAGCCCACCCGTTTTTAACGATACTTTACCTATTCCAGTTTATCAATCGGGACGGGTTGGCGCACTCAGGGCGCTGGACCCAGTCTCAGCAACTAAAACGTTCAGACACACTCTTTTTCCAGGCACTCTTGAAAGCCCTCACACCGGTTTGCCAAATGTCTCTCCTTACATTAAAATCAAGCCAAATATCTTGGGTAGAGGTGGGCGGGAGCGAAAAACGAGATAGCCACAAACTCGTTTCGCCAACCTTAAGTCCCAAGTTCCCCGTTTGCCCAGATCACTGTGAACCAGTTTTTCCACTGGTGCAAACTGCAGCTCAGTTCGGTTCCTGGGCTTTATAACCAACCGCGACCGGTTCGCCCAGGCGCTGCCCATAACTTGACCACAACTTCAAGAGTTGCGCCAAACTCTTGCTCACTGAGCCACTGCTTTCCAAGCTTGAGAACCGGCAGCGCCATCCATTCTAAATCCAAGTGCGCCCAGTACTAAAACCTTTGCTGGCCGTTCAAAGGTTCCCACCCAACGGCCCTGTTCCCGATTTAAACCTATTCACTGCATTACATTTCGTAAGTTTCGCAGATATTCTGCATCGGTTTGCGAGTCTCCACGCACCGCAACTCGGCGGTTGGATTGTGGCAAGCCTTTGTTTCTCATGAAAAAAGCCACGGGCGCTGCTTTGATCGGGCGCAACAGGGAACACGCTTGTTTCGATTCACTGCATTCGGCGGTCGCTTTGGCGGAATCAGGGGTTTGGTGGGCTCTGGATTGCTGTTTAGGCATGCCCTGGATTTCAAGGAACAAGTCGTGGACACGGGTTTTCCCTGGCAGGGTGGGGAGTTGAAGGTTGCCTCGCCTCGATATGAAATAATGCCTGAATGAATTGACGTTGCGATTGGCAAAACAGGGGGCTGGCGGGTATCTCCGTGCCTGGTCGTGTACATCGAGAAGCAATGTTTCTGGCACTGATTTGAAGGAAATTGCGGTTGTGGTAGTCACTGGAATGACTATCAGCGTCTATGTGGATAGCGCCAGTCGAGGCCCTCAGAAATCCAGATTCGGTCCCCAAATATGGCAGGCTACTAGGGCTGCTTCCTGTGCATTTCTGAAACTGCCGCTGTTGCAAAGCCCCGTCCAACAGTGTTCTCTTTCAAGACTACACACGAATTCAGTTGGGAGACTTACGTCAAGATGCAATTTCGTGGGGAGCAGCCGCAGTGTGTGGCAAGCAGCCTGTGTCATTGGTCGCACCAATCATTGAATGAAACGGAGCAAAGTTGCTCTAATTTCCAAACTAACACTGCAGGACGGTCCTCAGCATGTGCCACTCCACAAGTTGCTTCCACGTCACATTACAAGATTCCTGAAATCGACAGAATGCTGATTAGCTACATTATCTACACGGCCATCGGACACACGATGCCGTCACGAGCCACATCCGCGAATTCGCCTCCATTATTTTCCCCAACTTCTGCCCACACTGCTTGTAGCTTTATCGTTTTGTCGGCGCCGAGTCCTGCAACGAACGCCGACCGACGCCAAAACCGAAGAATTCTTTATCCCAGGTGCAACGTGTCCATTCCAACGCTGAGTCGTGGCATGCATCGGATGACCGCCACCTCATAATCATGCGCCCTAGGCAAACAATTGAAGAGGCGAGGCAGAAACGCCATGAAAACACCACCACCCATTCTGAGCCAGCTCCTTGGGCGGGCTGGTCAGGCGCACGGCGGCCAATGCGTTTCACGAGGGCCGGTCTTAGGGGAGGACGTCATCCAGGCTTTCCGCGCACAGGGTGCTGATGCCCGCATTGAAGATTCTCTCCACTTCCGTGAACGACGAGCAGCCGGGAACGGGTTCCATGGGCCCATTGAGCAGCAGATCCTGGCAGGTGCCCATGATTTTTTGCGTCTGCTGGGACGCCGTGGTCAGGCACGATTCCATGAAATTGTCCTTGCACGCCTTCACCCGCCTCCTTTGCAGCAATCCGCCTGAGCCACGGCGACACACAAAACTTCTGGGACGGCTCCAATGGCGGCCGTCAGACGGACGTTTGCGTGTGCACATACGGAAGCGTGAAAAGGAATGAAAGTAAAAGGAAAGAAATTGACAATGAAAAATGGATGTTGAAATTGAAATGTGGCAAAACTAAGCAGAACTTTATTCAATTAGAATACAGCCAGCTCTGGCAAGGCCTGCGTGCAGTTCCAGGGCAGGTTCGAAGGCCGCAAATTAGTGAACAGTCATCGATTCCAAGGGAAATACAAGTCGCCCATACAAAAACGGAACTCACGCAGTTGGTGAGGCCGTTGAGCGTCCATGGCACCGAGCCCCATGTTGGACTCCAGAACCGATTTCAGGCTCCCTGATAAACAAACCAGATCCCAAAATCAATCACATTGTGCTGCAATGAACAAAATGCATCGGCCAAAAATTGATGCAAATATCGTTGGACAGGAGAGTCCCACATTGAAGCGCTGACCGCTGTTTGACAACAAGCTCGATAGAGTGTACATCACATTGCATATGTATGCAAAGAGTCTGATGTTTTCACAAGCAATAATTTCGCGTTGTTCGATGGCGCAGCCACAGGCAGGGTTACCCGTTTCACCTGTTTCCTCATCTACTTGAGTCCCCCAGATATTATCGGAATGCCATGCGAGTTTGCACATGAACAAATCCAAAGGGAACAGCACCAGACAATCGGGCGTAGGGCTGCGCTCAGCACAACAAAACGTCAGCGCGAATCCTTAAAGCCGAAGCTTGCTTCCGGGGTCATTCAACTCACTTCTTCGGCCTCCATCCTGGCCGGCTGTGCATTTGAACGACAATTCTAGGCAAGCGGAATTCGCTGCGGAGAAAGCGCCCAGAATGCCGGCCTCGGAGCACGATGTCTCGTCTGCGGAAAATCCAGCACAGCCGTCAGCAACAGCTTTTAGACGCGTTCACATCAACCCAAATGCGACCCGGGTTGAGCGGTTCGCCAGGATATTGTGTGCGGTTCCAAAACGTCTGGAACAGGGCTCTCACCGATGTCCTTCATCTACCCACTCAAATGAAATGAGATAGCACTTGACGGACAGCGGACGTGCTCGCAACACACACAGTCTGGGTCTTTAAGCCCTAAAAACTGAACGTATTTACGGTTTTCCCGTAAAATAGTCTTTATGCATTACCCGTAAAACAGTTTTTACGTTTCTACACGTAAATGTAGCCCCATGTACATAAGGACAGTACATGCAGATTGGGGAGCCCGGGGAGTGGCAGTCAGACGCGCTGGAATGGTTGGAAAACAAACTGTTCCATTGCCATCGTTGCCATTGCCGAGGGCGAGGTGGGCCCTGTGTTGCGGATGCTCGAGATGGCAGATGACTGATCATTCTACGCAACTTTCCTCGTGTAACCTGGCTGTCCCAACGGCACGTGGAAACGTAAAAATAAACGTAAAAATCTCCTTTCGCAAATTTACGTTTTTGCGGGTAAAAGCGTACACGTAAAGACCAAACCTGAACACACAGGACTCTTGACGGCAAATCTCAGCTCTGAATTGAAGGCTTCAACCGCACGGCACCAACAGCGACAGTGCGCACACATTCTCCGACAAAGTTCCAATGCCAATCGCAGCTCTCTCCGGAGGCATCGCACGTTTTCACAGGAATACCAATCGGCGTCTCCAGGACCACGATTTAACTTGCAAACAAGCGAACCACCTCGCTTCGTGGCAGCTTCAGTTGGCGCAAAGCTGCCACAAGCGCCGCCAACTCTTGACATCTTCCAACCCACCACAGCACTCGCCGTTTCCGCAGTGAAGAATCGGCCAAAATGCACAGTTCCTTTTTGTTTGGAAATTGCGTAAACCATGTGAAAACGTGTCAAAAAGCGTGCGTTCACTCAAGCGTTACTGCACGGTTTGGTCCCATTCTCTCCACGACAAACACACGATCTTGCACGACATTCGATAGTGTTGCACGGTACCCGATTTTCAAAACCGTGCATTTTGGCCTGTTTGAAACTGAGCTGCAGCCTCACCAAGACGGAGGACGAACGCCTCGCTTGTGTCCTTGCCCTTCCTCCCCTTCTTTCCTCCCTTCCCCTTCTTGGCCGGCTTCTCCTCCTCTTCAGGCTCCTCATCAGGCGGCTCCGCCGCCGTGGGCCGCTTGGGAGGGGGCGGGAGCGAAGGCGTGGTCACAGCGCCCACGGTGGGCGTCTCCGTGGGGCCGGGCACCGGCGCGGGCGCAAGTGCAAATGCCGTGGGCAGCTCCCTGGGCTTCGGAGGAGGCTGCAGCGAGGCTGGCGTGCCGGAGCCAGGCCTCCTTGGAGGAGAGCCCGCGGCTGGGAGCTCGTCGAGACCCGGGGATGTGCCGTTGAGCAGTTCCCCCGCGGGGCCCTGAGCGAGGGGGCCCAAGTCCGACGGCCCTGGCGCCGCTGCCACGGCGTCTGAGGCCGCCAGGGCAGGCTCCGTGGTGTCCGCGCCGCCACCTGGAACATCGTTTGGGAAATGGTGGTACAATGCTCAGTACTTCGTTGTGCTATGCTGTACCAGATTGTTTTGAAAGGCGAATCTGGGGCGCAAATGCGAGGAGTCAGCGCCGGCTTGGCGAAGCGGCCTTCGGTCGCACTGGCCTTAAGTTATCGGCTCGAGCGATTCGACATTTTCGTGAATGGTGATGAGTCGCTGACAGTCGTCCACCGCAGAGCGATGAATGAGTGAGGAGACAGACACAGAGTGATGTTGATGCTTCACAGACAAGTGAAAGAATGAATACGTAAATGGATAAAAAAGTACGAAAGCGCCTGGGCAACAGGACACAACAATGATGAAACAATTAAACAAGCAAAATAAATAAATAAATAAAAATAAATAAATAAATAAATAAACAAATAGATAAATAAATAAATGAATAAATAACCGAATAAATGAATAAATAACCGAATAAAGTACTAAATAAATAAATGAACAAAATAACTTCAAGCGTTGTCAGAGCATGTCCCCCTGATGATTTTTCTTTGAGCATGCAATTCCACCTGTACTGCTAACACCTGGATGTTATCTGCTGCAGGTGTTAGTTCGGCCATTTTCATTGTGGTGCCAGGTGTGTGTCAACGGAGCTGAAGACATGTCAACAACCGGCACTTAACCAAAGTTGTGACTGGTGCAGCAACATCGTGCAACATACTCAAATGCGATTGTCGCATCCGTGTTGGGCGGGCATTCTGGCATTTGCACGTGAACTAAGTGGCGTTTTAAAGGCACGATACTTTCACGGGGGGACTCACGCAAACTGGATATGGCTTGCTTTCATCTTGGGTCTTTGACATTCCTTGAAATCAAGAAAACGTTAGATAATGTTATCAAGACTTTCATGGAGTGGGCTGCTTGTGCAATTAATTTCACGTTGTGGGAGCCATTGGTCGATGCAAGCATAATCCACAAGAAGGCGCTCTTCATGAAGTGCTGATGTTCAAGCAAGCTGCATACATTCCAAGAATTCGGACATTATGAACGGATAATTGTGTGCTGGTGCCTGGACCTCCTCATGTCCACGCAGCACTTTTGCTGTGGTCAAATGGCATCAAAATCACGATCAAAAATCTAAGGTCGCGTAGAGTGATATTGCTATGATATTATTACGACGATCGCGCAGTAACATCACGGTAATAAAATCGCGATCACTAGTAATATCGCGATCACAATATGCCAGGATGACCTTGGAAACTATTGATCGCGATATTACTTGGTATCGCATTCACTAATTAACGATCAGCCAGGGACTGCAACAATTTGATCAAAAATATAGCTCTGGTAGCTGTCAGCACAGGGCATAGAAGACGATCAGCAGCAACACGGCCAGCCTGCGCAGCCTGTCAAGCACACATACCAATAAAAATATCTAACGTCATGCTGCAATCAATGCTATTAAAAACTAATCAGCAATTAACTGCTGTGCAACAGGCAGCGGCCCGCCACATCCACGGCAGCTGCGTCCCCCCCACCCCACCCCCCACCTTCCACCCACCTTGTCTGCACACGATGATTCTAAAACCCTCGCAAGAAGATTCCGAGCAGGATTCTCCGCTCCCGATGGTCACCGTCGTCCCGCAGTCTCGGATGGCGAAACGCCATTTGAAGAACGACTCTGCCGACGCGAAGCCCCTGCTGACGCAGAAGGCATCCGCTGCGGGCTTGCCGCAGCCGACGCCGGGCCTGCAGGCAGCCTCAGGCTGTGAGGGCTTTGAGACAGCTAGCAGGTCGGCCAAGCCAGGGATTGAGCAAACATTGAACTTAACAATTTGAACAAACACGTTGAAAACAACACAATTGAAGAAAGTAAGCAAGCATGCGATGTGGCGTGCAGGTGGCGGAGGGCGCCTGGGCAGGGGTGGGGTGTCGTGCAGGGCGGCGCTTTCTGGTTCATGGCAATGTGGAGGAGCACCCAGAAAACGCCAGAATGTTTTGTTACCATTTTGTCCGGGGGGGCCAGGTTCACTAGCAGAAAAAGGGACCAAATAACACATTCTGGGAACAAACGTGTATGCATTTCGTCAGCGTCCTGCATGGTAAAAACACGGAAATAACTCAAAAAAATAAACTTCGTACACGTTTGAACACGTGTTATTTGGCCCTTTCTTTCCTCGTGGCCGGAAGGGATGCGTGGCTTCGAAAGAGTGTGTCTCACCATTCATTGCATCGAAAGATTGGCAAAAGATGTCCAATGCTCAACCGTAAAAGTCCAAGAGAGAACATGAAATGAATGTTCATCTGCAGCTGATGCAGAACGCGTGTAGCGAAGGACCAAAAGCACGGACGTTCCTCTTCGAATATCATGTATCATCATCCTCAATCCCACACCCCAAGTCTCAAAGAACTGGGCACTCAGCCGCAAGAAGAAAACACAAAATCCTAAAACAATAAGCAATAAACAATGCCAACATTCCCTACCACAACCACGTTTCCAAATGACGAGTTCATGACAACGCGCTGGCACTGCGTGGGCTCCGCGGCATGGCGCTGAAGAATTGAGTAAGAAACACATGCTTGGTCACGTTAGCACACATCATTGACGCATCGTCTTGAAAATGATCCGCCGCAAGCAATGAATGGCGCTTGTCGATGCTGGGGATATTCCCGTAACCGTGGTACTTACGACGTGCAGTAGTCCAGCTTTCCCCCTCCCACTTCAGGGTGTGAGAACGTCGTGCGGGTCAGCAGGAAGTCGAACGCCTCCGTCCCCACCTCCGGCGGGCAGAACCCAAACTGCAACAGCTCTCGGCCCCCTCCTGCGAGCAGCGCAGCAGCACATCGATCCCAGGGCTTTCCTTCCCATTTTCCGCCACGCGCGCTCCCGTGCATGAATGGGAATGACGCCGATCAATGGGGCGCAGTGCGCGAACCAGGGAAAGAAACAATCGAGCGCACCGCAGACCGTCGTTCATGTACGATGCGAGGGCCCCGAGCTGGGGACGCCCGAACCGCCCCAATGCACCGCTCTGCCTGCAGGCAAATTGCTCCCGGCCAAGAACCAGCTCGCGACATGCAGTCCGCAGCATGGAATCCTCGGTGCTCATGGCCGGTCCAATCCGCGCGTCCCCATGCATCCGCCATCCGGCGCGATGCCCAACGTGCGCAAACACCGCGACTCCACCCGCCTCGGACGGACCGACAGCCCCAGCGCAACCCTATGCTCACACCCGCCACACTGCTACTCCTACATATTGCTTGTCCGGAGCTCGAAACGCGGCAGACTGCCCATGCGCTCAGCAACGCAGCAATCCACGGCCCACGCCTACCCGCCCCGTCCGCGCCTCCCAGCGCGTGGCGGGCTTCCGAGTGCACGCCCAGGGACGCCACCAGCGCGCAGACCGCCAGCCACCTCGCGGCACCGGCCCGCGGCGCCATTCCGCCTTCCTCCTAGCCGCCCCTCTTTGCCAGGCGGCCGGCCGTCGCGACTTGCTGGCAAGCGCGCCCGACTCTGGCCGCGAAGTTCCACGATTACTTCGCTGTGACCGGGGCGCCGGTGACAATACAGCGGGCGGGCGGACCCGTACATCGGGGGCGGGGGCGGCGAGGGGCCGGATGTGAGCATGACGGCCCTCGGGAGGTCACATCGGCCTGTGACCCGGTTTTTGTGTCCTGGGGCTTGGGGGGTGTTGGGGGGAAATGGGGAGGGGGTGGATTGCCATGCTGGGCGGGCGCAGGTTTGGTGGAGGGGAGGGCAAAAGGCACAGCGGTTCTGAGACAGCTTCCGGATGGAGTGAGCCTGTCCTGCACCGCCGCTGAGTGCGCGGTCGGATGCGCTGCAGAATGGGTGCGTCTTTGGGATCCCGGGAGGGCTGTTTGTGATGAATTGAGAGCAGCGGGCAGCGCGGAGTGGAAATCGGGTGGGAATATCCTTGACTTGGGTTGGGGCGTGCGCCTGTGTGAGATGAGGCCAGGCGTGCGGAGCCGGATGATGGAATGGCCTGCCCACTCCATTGCCGAGCGCGGTACGTGTACCGATTGCAGCGCATCATCGAGGGCAGAACAGGAAGAGGAGGGATGTACGACCAGGATCTGACCTTGGGTGATGACTACGACGCGCCGCAAAAACTTGCGGGGGAGTGGTGATGCGATTACGTCACCGGCCGCCTCCCCAGACAAAATGTCGCAAAAGCTGCTCACTCGGAACGCGGGATTTCTGTAGGACGTGTCCTCTCCGTCTGGAAATTCGGCAGGCGTGATGCAATGTTGACGAGGGTTGATGCAAGGGGGCCATTGAAGCAATGGCCCTCAATATTGGTGAACTGCCCTTGAAACGATGGCTCTTGGCGTCGGCGTCCGTCAGCCCTCCAACAAGGCATCTTGATGCAACATTCCCAAGCAAGCAGTGTTCCAGCAATGCTGCATCAACGATCCATTTATCAGCCCAAAGATGCATCCAGAAATTTGGCAGCCTTTGATGCACCATTGATAGGCCCTTGGATCAACGCGAACCTTCGAAGGTTCGAATTCGGAGCTCGTGTCTGTAGAGCGGTGTTGATGCAATGGCCTGTCAATGTTGTATCAATGCCTAACAGATTTCCGGATGCCCGCATGCACCAGCGACCCCACACCTGCGGTGGCGGCCAGCAACGAACTGCCTTCCCAGTATTGGAAGTATTGTGGGAATGTAGTCATCCAATATGCAGGTACTGATGGGAATTACTTGATACTAAAGAGTGACACAGCTGTGGTTTGCTGGCAGGAAAAAACACCGGTTTGCCTGGCCTTTGGTAAGCAGGTTAGACGGTATGCGTTAATGTGACACACACGATTTGGGTAGAGCTGCGTGGCTGTCGAAAGTTCTCCAGCATCTCCAGAGCCACATTGGCTCGGTCTTTGCCCGTGGACAAGCATGCTGAGCCGGCAGTGCATTTGTCCAAAAGAATGCCACTGCCACTGTGTATAGACGTCAACGCACATGTGGTGCTGGGGACGTCAGTCCTGAAGCGGTGTCACGCGGGTGGCGAGGGGATAAATGAACGAATGAGGAACAAGGAAACGCTCGGGATTGTATACACGGCCCTCATCGCCTCCAAGGTGCAGCGGCAGCGCTTCGTTTTGTCGAAGGCAATTTCAAAGGCTTACAGCACATGTCCTGCTACATGGTGCTCGGTTCGCCAGTGTGCCGGAATAAGAGCTTGTACTTACAAGCAGGCTTGGTTTTTACGTTTACGTTTACGTTTTTACTTTTACGTTTTTACGCGTAAAAACGTAAATTTGCGAAAGGGCCTATTTTTACGGCTATTTTTACGTTTTTACGGCTTCCGGCATATGTAGTTTACACGATGAAAGTTGCGTTCAATGGTCAGTCCTCTGCCATCTCCATCACCCGGAACACAATGTCCACCTCGCCTTTGGCAAGGGCGATAATGGCGTTTAACAAAAACTCGTCTTCTGCCTCTTCCAAGGCGTCTGGCTGCCACTCTCCGGACTCTGTAAATCTGTATGTACTGTCCTTATGTACACCAGGCATTTTTTACGTTGTATTTACGTATTTTTACGCATTTTTACGCGTAAAAACGTAAAAACTATTTTTAGGCATAAAAACGTAAACACGATCAGTTTTTACGGCGTAAAAACCAAGCCTGCTTACAAGGAATCTGGTGCCTTGCGGGAGCAAAATGCAAGGGACAAATCTTGACCGAGGACAGCAAAAATGGCCCGATTGGTGCGTGGTACGGTACGGAGTTGTGAGATACTTGGCTGTCACAGGCAATTCGACGATGTGCATCACTGTCAATTAATTGGCACTGACGCACACTGTCAAATATTCGCCACTATTCGCCACGGATGCACATTGTCGAATATTCGATGGCGCCGCCAAGACACGTCGGATTTCGTGCTCGGGGCACGTATGCATTAGTGCGTTGCCGGCCAAATTGCAAGGTTGGAATATGGTGCACAGTGTTCCACGGCTCAACATCGCAGGCAAATTGTTGGATGAATAGGATTGCCCACAGTTTTGAAATTTGTCCGATACCTATCATTTCTGGGCATGAAGGTAGTGGAGGGGCTTAAATACCCTCAAAATTTAAACCAAAACGCCCCAACCCCAAATGTAATCTTCTTGGGCTTCGTGTCTAGAAGTGAAGGGTATGGGACAGTGGTGGCAGTTTCTGCCGCGACATGACACGCCCTTGTTCTTCACGCCAGTCGCGTAATGCGGTGTAGCCAATGCACAATTCTCTTAGGAAATCGCATGATTCAAAGCAATTTCACAGGGTTCCATTCAGTGAAGTTTGCAGGTAGTTTGCTAGTGATGTTGCGCTAGGGTTGCATCATCACACGTGCCCATGTGGACACCGGACATGCACAGGGACGGAGCGCTTGGCCGCCTAGTTCCTCTCGACTTTGAGACGTTTGTCTTGAGATTGCGTGCGTGAGATGGGCTCGAGCGAGGATGCATAAATCTCCAGTAGAAAGCACCATTTTGATGATGGCAATTGCGATGCCGTTCAGGACCAATTGATGCCATCACAGTTGCTTTGATGCCGTCGCGGTCACTGCGATTGCAGCAACAGTTGCAACCAATTGGTGTCAAATGACATCGTAGTTAGACACTAGTTTGATTTTAGTGCAATTACACAATCTCATAGCGTCAATGGCTGCAACGCCTCCGCCTTTTAAGCTAATTTGACGTTAAGCGTAAGGAAAAATCAAAATAGGTGAGAAGATGCACAAAAAGGCCACTGATCAGCGGCAAATAACTCACGATTTTTGGCAAAACCTCTCTCTAACTTTCGATTATCCAGAGAGCCCGTAGAATGGATCCATTTTCAAGCTTTTGGGCTGCTCCCATTGCTTATCATGGCTTTTGGCATCCCGTTTGTTAAACCACTGCAATCGCTACTACTTTGGCTCTTATTTTCCCATAATTCTGTTTCGAACTTGTATGGCATTGCTAGGTAATGTTGCTGAGTCATCCTGGGGACGAGAAAAGGGTTGGCGGTAAGGAGGGGTGTGGGTGGGTCTGAGCCTAACGTCAAATCGACGCTAAGCGTACAAAATTCAAAATGGTGTCTTCCCTTAGCATCAACAAATGGTGTGTTGAGCCTGCGAATCGAGCTGGCGAGGGTGGCGGTCGTGTCAAGGACGGGGGTTGATGCAAATCAGCTGATTCACACATACGATCATCCTGCAGGATCATCGTGCGTGTGAAGCATCACATGGGAAGCGTGGCTTACCATGCACAGATGGTCCTTGGGGCCCAGAGAACGGTATGACCTGTGCAGATTCTAGAAGGATGATCTGGTGTTGTGGATGCGCACACAAAGGTCGAGCGTCAATGGCAGATTTGGGCGTGCCCATCCCCAGCACAAGACACAGGCTGCCGTCGGGTGGTCGGCCACAAGCAGGGCTTGTGGGCAGAAGAATAGGCTCAGCCGCTTGGGGCATGCCTGCTCCGTACGGAGACGCGGGGGGCTCTTAGGGGCAGTGTACTGAGCTTAAGGACGCGGCAGGTTCGAGATATTTTTAACGGGGTGTGCGAGACTGTATTTTACGCATTTCTGGCGTGTTGGCGAGTGCAGCTGGAGCTCAAAAGGGCACCCAAAAGGGCTTATGATTCCAATACAACACTGCTCCGGAGCGATGTAGAAAAGGCGTCTGTCTTGCATGAGCCCATGCCATGAGGTGTGAGAGACCTGTTGTTGTGCGTTTTGCAAAAAGTGCATATGTTGATATTCAGAACATATGTTCTATGGGTCACACGTCACGGGCTGTGGGGCTCAAAAAAATTGTTTGTGACACCAAGTGCTGTGGGGTGTTCGGTGGGTGGCATTCTAAATGCCAGGACTATGGATGGATGGGACGCACTGCCCCACCTTCGCGACAATGCGTGGCTGATATCAGGACACAAAGCAAAGCAGCACTTGACCTACAATGGACGTTTCAATCGCATTGAGGCCAGCTTGGTGATATCTCAGCGGGGGACCACGAAAGCTCCCAACATCTGGCCCTCTGGAGCAACTCTCACCCAAACAAGCACCATGGTAGCAGAGATCTGAACAAGAGCTCATGAAAGCACTCGCTGCCACCAGGTGCACAGCTTCGTTGTGGCCTGCCCATGGCGAGCACCAGCTCGCCTGTCACCAGCCAAAACATTGTTGTGCCTCTTTGGCATCTGCCCACAGTTCCAGCCATTGCAGAATGCTGGCCGCCAGCTTTTGCTCCTCTCCCCCATGTCCTTTCATGCTCTTGTATGGATACCCGCTTCACATGCACAGATGCTTGTGATGTGGAGCCAAGGTTAAGATGCACCAAACCAGGCAAAGCGATCATCTCAACGTTCTGATCCAGCTTTTGGGACGTCTGGCTCGACAGCGCTCCTTACAGCAACATGGGCAGAAATGGCAGCAAGAGTGTGGCCGAGCCGTAACACCAAACCGTGCTTCCCCCACATTTGGAGCCTTTGCTTCTGCAAGGCCAAGGGTCTCTTGCATGCCGAATCGATGCGTTTAAGTCGCATAAACTCAGACGTTGAGACTGTCAGGAGGGCACTAAGTAGGGAGGCCCCACAGTGACCATTGGGTTCAAAGCTGTTCATGGCAAAGCCTTGTCATTCCTGATGTTGCTTTCCAAGTGCAACGACCATGCAAAAATACGATGTGGATCGCATCAGCTACACCATCAGGGGCAAATGGCCACAACTTCAGGCCATGATCGTTTGCATTCATCACAACCACTCGCTGGACGTTGCAGTGGACCATGAATACTGCCCAGGCATTTGCATATGCATAAGCATTGGAGAAGGTCGATGCTCAGCAAATCACAATCCTCGATCTACAGCCCAGGCGCCCATATGAGTAATTCCATTGATCATGACGTCGAGTTTCTCAAGGCTTGTTGGAATGGCTTTCTGCACATCCTCCTTTCTGCCTCGGTTCACAGAGCATTTCTTCTTTCACAAATAATGTCAAAGAATGGAACAAAAATTCTCAGCCGCATGTCTGACTCTGTTTTCATCTTCTCTCATATGACTTGCCCATGCCCCTTCCCCACCAGAACACAACATCCACAGGGCATGTACTCGAAAACCAGCCAGAGGGTGTCCTGCTGCGGCCTGTCTGGCCTGCCCCCTTCGTCCTCAGCCCGAGCTGTGCATTCACATTCCGCTCCTCCCCCACACCACAAGGGCAATGGACATCGTGAAGCTGGTGGCCAGAGCGGCCCAGCCAATCACTACGATAGAAGGCTCCCCCTGCATGACACATAGAAACGTCATTCTCAAGTCCAGCATCATTGATGAACTAAAGTCAAAGCCAGGTGACTAAAATGAGCTGTGCACTCAGTCAATCCACAGCTCTGACGACGACAGCCTCCAATGGAGGAATTCCGGCGCCGATTCTCAGCAAGGTCATCCCTGTCGGAGTGCACGCGTGCCAACTCCCACACGCTGCTCCGACGTGTTCCCTGGTCATGACTCTTCCATTGAGCTGACTATGCAGGCACCCTGTACCCTTGGCCTTTCCTCCAGTCTCCCAATCTCATCCCAACCCACTGCTCAGCCTCCACCCTCGACTCCAGCACAAATTCAGCAAATGCGCCCTTGACGGGGATCCAAGGCGCCGCTGGGACGGCACGCGGCTCCACTCACCGCGGCGACGGTCATCACCTCCTGCGCCGCGGATGCCGCCTCGGGGAGCGCCAGGGCCAGTCCAGCGGCGGCGGCGCCCGCCGCAGCCGCGGGAGCGGCAACCTGCGCGACGCCCGGCGAGCGACAAGCCGACGATCAGGCACAAGGTCAACTCACTGCAGCGCCCCTCCGCGCCAGTCCAGCGACACACTTGGGCAGCCTGGCGCCACCCATTAACGGCCCAAAACGCCGCGCGGTCCAATGCCCCGCTGCTTGCGCGCAGCAGCGCGGCTCCGAGCCCCGCCGCACGCAAGCACGCGCGCCCCGCCGCCCCCCGCCATCCGTGATGGCCTGGCTGATGGCGAGCTTGGCATCCCCTCACAACCCACCCCACACTCCCCCCTGCCGCTGCGCATTCCGCCACAGCCCATGGGTCCATCACGGACGGCGGGGATCGGCACACCAGATGGGCCCCTGACGCCATTGGGGGCTTCCCAGCCGCGGGCGCACCTGGCCGGATGCCTGCACCGCTATGCGTCGCCTGGACGGGAGCGACGGCCGGCAGGTGGCCTTGGGCGCCGCGCCGGGCAGCACTGGCCCTGGGGCCTTGAGCGTCATGCCGGACGCCTTGGAAGCCATGCCGGTGGCGGGCGCCTGGGGGTGCGGGCGACGGGGGTGGTGGGCGCGGGAGTGTAGGCACCAGACAGGGGGGGAGAGGCCGAAATCTGGGCTGGATGGTGGGTTTTGCGGCCGCAAATTATCGCTTTTTGTGGACCGGGGTGGTGTGGGTGCGGCTCTTCCGATCTTGGAGATCTTTCCGGGCACATTCCTTGTTGGAAAACCGGGGCCCAGTGCAGACAGTTTTCCGAGACCGGGGACCCGGCAAGGCGTGTGGAGAGCTTTTGGGACCTCAAGGACATGTAAAGAGCAGCTTTTGAGTGTTCCACCTATTGAATTCGGGCCCTCCGCCTTCACGCACTTGCTTTTGTTGGCTCAGCCCCCCTTTGGAGCCATGGCAAATCGCGCCTGTGTCTGACATTCACTCGATCGCATCTTTTTGGACACTGCTTTGCTCGCGCAAAATGGGGAGCTGACGCCCACCTCCTTGCCTCGTCATGTAAAAATGGATGATGATGTTGAATCGGCTCGCCGCGAATGTCCCAAGAAAGTCTCCGGGGCCCCCAGTACGACGCGCTTCCGCCCTTTTGCCGCGTCACGCCTGCCCGCGCACCCAGCCGCAGACACTTTCCCTTCCTGAGGCCGGGCCCGAGCGTTCCACCCCCCGCGCGTGGCCATGGCCCGCGACTGACCTGCCCCCCTGGCTACCGCCGGCGCGCGCCAGCCCCCCCTCGGCTCCGCCGCGCGCCCCAATCCACGGCGCCTTCGATCAATGCCGTCCGTGCGCCCCCTCCCGCGATGCCGCCCGATCCCCACCCTCCCCCGCCTCGCAGCCCACGCCCTCCGCGCGGAAAAGATGATTCGGGTCCCGCGCTGCCGGTGGCGTGCAATCATGATCCCGCCGCAGGGTATCCCTTCGATCGCCGCGGGCCGTGGGCGCTGCCGGCCCGCCCTCGCCCGCGCCACGACCACGACCGTTGCGAAGATTGACATCGCCTCGAGGGCATTCGGCGTGGATGCCGACGACCTGAAGAGGATGATGGAGTCTCCGGACGGCGGGGCGATCTCACGGGAGGTGCCCGACGCTCGGGCGCTGGCGACGGCGCTCCGGACGGACCTGGTGGATGGGATCGCCGGGGGGGATCTCGAGGAGCGCAGAAAGGTTTTTGGATCGAACAGGGTGGCGCCCAGGGCGCCCGTGGCGTTCCTGGACCTGGTGTGGGAGGCGCTGCAGGACTTCACGCTGCTGGTGCTGATCGCCAGCGGGCTGCTGTCGCTGTCGCTGGAGGCGGGGCTGGCCGGGGGCGGCGGGGGCGGGAACTGGATCGAGGGGGCGGCGATTCTGGCGTCGGTGTGCGTGGTGGTGGCGGTTACAGCGGTGACAAACTACCAGAAGGAGTCGAAGTTCAGGGAGCTGAATGCTTTGAAGGACGACGTGAAGGTGGGGAGGGGGGGGGGGGGCATGGCCCATGGGGGCCCGGCGCACGGCTGCTCGCACCCGTTGTTGCAGGGGCACCACTGGAGCAGCAGAACCGCAGTATGATGCCATGAGGGTGCAGTGCTTTTCCTTCAACTGCACAGTCTTATGAATGGAAGGAATACGAACGGGCAACAAAATCGAATTTGTAGGACGCTGCAGCTTGAATCCCCATTCATTCCATCCTGAAAATGAGATGGATTCAACTAGGAATTTTTGCGGCAAACTTGGGATTTTGCCGATGTTGTGCATCATTCCAAGTGGAGATTCAACACTAAACAACATCATGCATCGATCATTTGCTTGCTAATGCCCATAAGATGGCCCATTATGCACAGGGAATAGCCCACTATATCATGCCTTCTGCCTGCCGTGGCATGTCCTGAATGCGGCCGACAGTGTCCACTTGAGAACCAAAGGACATGATACCATAGAAACAAGCTTGGGACTGACTATGTGACTTGTGGCTTGATACTTGAGCTGCCTGTGAATGCTATGAATGACACCTCAACTCATCACGAATAGCGCTCTGCTTAGCTGTAATGGAACAGGTCACATGTTTGACTCCTCAGCGTATAGCTACACTGGACAGGCACCACTGGCCTTTGAAGTTAGTAAGCCTTTGGAATGCAAACACGGGTGCTGCTGTTTCAGGTTCGAACCATCAGGGAAGGGGTGGAACAGGAAGTCAGCTCATTTGACCTTGTGGTTGGCGATTTGGTTATAGTGGAGGCAGGAGACATCCTTGAGGCAGATGGTGTCCTATTTCAGGGTGATGAAATCAAGTAAGAAAACACATGAACTGCTGTCCTGCTGAAATTTTAGCTGCAGCAGTGTGGATGGAGAGTTGCAGGGATTGCGGTTTGTTTACATGACATGACAATCTGAAGACCTTGAGATTTCTCCATTCCAGAGTGTACTAAAGCATTGCACCAAGCAGGCAGTGACCCTCACAGATGCATCCAAAACATGTCTTTTGGTTCCCCATGAACCTGCTTCTGCTGACCGCCACTGTCTCAGTCATGGGGCGGTGCGGTTTTTGCAGGGTTGATGAAAGCCACTTGACTGGCGAGTCCGATGACGTGGTGAAGACACCAGAGGAATTGTGCCTCATGTATTCAGGGTCCAAGGTTATGCAGGTAACAAACTTTGGCAATATTTTGGCGCCGAGCAGTGATCACAAGATGGCAGACAGGTGGCCAAATTGTGCTTGCACCTGTCTGTCAAGGGGCTTCTGTCACAGTGGCACCCATTACATGACATTGTGTTAACCCTGCATTGCCTTGACGACTGGGCTTGTGGCACCTAGCAGCTGTTCTGTAGCTTATTGCCGCAGATACAGATACAGATGCAGTGGCAACTACCACGAGTTGACAGTCACAAAATTTGTGCTGAACAGATTAGGCTGAACCCCCTATTGATCTCATGTATCTGTGGGGTGTTGTGTGCAAATTGAAAGCAGCTTGGAAGTTCTCAACATGGATTGTGAGAACCAAAGGGCAGCTGGCTGAGTCAGGGTGGGTTAAGGAGGGGCATTGTCGGGGTGACGGGGGAAGATGTTGTATGTATCATGCTGTGGATGCATCATTTGTCTAACAGAAGTGATTGTGCCCTTATTCTGGGAGCAATGGGCATCAAACTCAAGAAAGGGGCTGCAGCAGTTTAGGTTGTGTGTTGCGAGGGAGGCGCACAAATGATTATTGGACCTGCCATGCAACTAGAGTTGCATTTGAGTGCAGAACAGTGCATTTCCAAATCAGGACCCAAACCAGTGCATGGCTGCGGGTGTAATGTCGAATGTTTGTGGGTGTAGGGATACGGGCAGATGTTGGTGGTGGCGGTGGGACCGAATTCTCAGCAGGGTCTCATATCGACCTTGGTATCTGGAACTGGGGTACAAGAGAGGAGTCCAGAAGATTCACTGAGGTGGCCATGGCTGGACTCTGTGCAGAGCGCAACCTTGTGTGTTTTTATCTGACTATGGACTCCATGCCAATGGATATGCTTGTGCACTTCTTGTTGAGATGCATTTCAAAGCCAGCGAAGCACCCATTCTTTGTAAGTCTCCTTGTAAGAGGCGTATATTGGGCCCTGGGCGGCATATGTGCTGGCTCAAATCTGCTCTGGTTACAGCTGTAAACTGCGATGTATGTGTGCATATGTTTGTGTACGTTGTTGTCGTTGTGCATCATGCCAGTGGCCGATGGACAGACAGTCGAAAATGTCCAATGGCCTCTGCATGGTCAAAAATCAATGCCAACTGCAGGGCCGACTGTATATGTGTGTGCATGCATGGGTCCGCTGATTATCTGCGAAAGTATGCAGCAAGATATGCTAGGTAGCTGTCAGACGGTGAGGGCAATATATACTCAACGGCATGACGGCTGCCAATACCTGTGCATGACTGTGCATTGTTGCTGACCTAGAGAAGAATGCATGGTCCAAGGCACCCCTAGGCACATCCATGAGTGTGGTTTAGATACCTCCCTGAGGTTGTCTCGTGACAACAAGTTTTGAAGAGGCCTTGGCTGCCATGACTATTGGCTGAAAGACGATTGTAGTGGCAAGGACATGCACCCTTGGTTGTCCTGTTGCTTTTCTACTGACCATGATCCCTACAGCCACCTGATTGCAACTGGAGTATGGCTGAGTAGTATCTTTGGCAAGTCAACTAATGTCCACCAGAAAAGGTCAATTGACAGGGGCATTCTAGGTCTGTGATTAATTGGCATATTCATTGAATGGATATAACACAAAATATGTACTAATGCAGTTTCATTGATCACCAGGGACACCACTGTATTAACTCAGAAGCTGGAGCGCTTGGCCAAGCAGATCGGGAACTTTGGTGTCCTGGCTGCTGGAGTCACTCTTATTGCACTGGTGTCACACTTTTCCTGGGACACCTTCGTTGTGAACGCTGAGCCATGGGACTGGGAGTTCTTGGAGACATATCTCCACTATCTAACCACGAGTATTACCATTCTGGTGGGTGGCCAATGGACACATGACTGCTGTGTGAATACCAGGGGTAATAAGTGCTGCAAATGAATAGTTCCCACCTGTCTGGATCGATGGGATACAAAGGGTTCATAGCAATTCCACTGCTTCAACAGTTGTGGTGGGGTGGTTGTTATCTGTTCTTGTGGTTGCCTTGAATGGAACTTTGTTGCTGTAGTACTGTTGTTGCAGTTATTACTAATTTTCTTTCGCAAGCTGGGAATGACTGGGCTGGAGATTGGTGGAAAAACACTTTCGTGCTGTTGATGCCATTGATCTGTGTGCCGCCACGTAGCTAAGCAATAGGATGTGCTGGAGTGTGGTTATGTTTGAAGAAATGTGACATGCTGGATGTCTGTGCTAGAGGCATTGTCCAAGGGGTCAATAATTTGCCGCTGTCTGATTGTTGTCCTTGATTGGAATTTTGCACCTCATCGCTGTGCTGCTTGTGCCAATTTCTGTTCCAAAGAGATCTTGGCTGTGTCTCCCCATTTTCAAGCAGTTCTTGACACCATCGTCGCCCGGCAGACAGGAAGGGGCAGTGCTTTGTTATGTTGACAAGTTCAGCAAGCAAAAGCCCTCCTGTCACACTTGCTCTGATTCATTCTATGCTCACCAACAGGTGGTTGCAGTACCTGAGGGCTTGCCCCTTGCTGTCACCCTTGCCCTTGCTTTCTCGGTTCAGCGCATGATGGCAGACAACAATTTGGTCAGACACCTCGACGCCTGTGAAACCATGGCATGCGCAACCACAGTGTGCAGGTATGCTGATGCGTATAGCAGAAATCATTTCGCCGCATTGCTGGAAGTATGGAGGGAGTCTGAAGTGCATTGTGCTGGATCCCTCCTTCCATGTGCAAATGTTTCCCGGCTGGTCTGGAATGCAAGCCGAAGCAGTGATATCCAACACACACCCAAAGTCGTTGCATACTGTGGATTTTCATGTCCCTGAGGAAGCGACACTTGAGTTGATTGCTGGAAGTTTACCAAATTCGTCCTCATTCGTTGACCTACCGTCAAGTTGCTGTTGTGCATATGTCACACTCGGCAAGGCTGCTAGTATGCAAGGCCTGTTCCACCATGTCCCTTGGCATTGTACCTTATTTTGTGCTGTTGTTGATGCAATTGAATTTGCAATAGGACGATGCTGTGCTTAACTGTGTTGCACACCTCTTTATTTCATCATATTGTTAAAAATCACGTGTGCTGCCCACCTTGATAATGAACAACTCTCTGCTGGTTGCATTTGCAGTGACAAGACTGGCACCTTGACTCTCAATGACATGAGAGTTGTTCGGCTTTGGGCAGGGGGAAGATTGTACAGGGTTTCAGCATCCCAGCACGGCTCTGACTTGGCAAGTTCATCAGGACATGGGGCGATGGATATTGACCATGTTGGTGGGCATGTGTCAGGGCTACTGCCACCATTGAGTACGATGCTGACCGAGTCTATAGCCATTAATTCAACGGCCTGCATGGAAGTGGATGGTGAAACAGGTGCCGAGGTTTTCTTGTGCCTCAAGGGTGTTCTCTTGCTTGCACATGTCTTCAGAGGTTTTCCAGAACTACTTTGAGGCTTGTGGAACTGTAGGAACTATTTAGCAAGTGACCTGTCAAACTTGCGGGCATTTTGTCCAGTCAAGATGGTGAAGCGTGAATCTCAAGTCTTTGCGAGCTGGTGCAGAATGCAACATGTGCAGTTAAGACTTCCTGGAGTTGCACATTATACTTGTGGCAGTGTCCCAGGGCTTATTTTTTAATGCATGGTTGGCGCATCGACTGCGTTTGCATGGCATGCGGGTTGTTCAAATCTGAATTGGCAGCTGCCAAACTGTGCCAATGCAATGTAGATGGCATGGTTCTGGTGTCGCACGGGCTCATTCACCATGTTGACGTGATTGGATGTTCACTCACTGGAAGGGTGGCTGCTTTAGCGTGACTGTGTCCGACAGTCAATGATGGCCATAATCTCTGGCATGGGCTTAAAAGATTGTTGTGGTGAGCATCGATAACAAACTGCTGATACAGATACAGTTTCTGGTTACCTGCATTACTTGTTTGCATGTGTCGAAACGACAAGACAACGCCCTGCCCTTGCAACGTGAAGGCGATGTTGGGCTTAACTCCATGCACAAGATGCTGCTGGCAAAATACTATGCACTACACTCTAGTTAATACACTAAATACTGCGCGCTACTAGTAATTGTCAGCATCTGTGGTTCTCTGCTGTTCAAGCTGGCATCCATGTTTGCATGCATTCAAACTCTCTGTTGAGTTGACTATTTTTCAGGCGAAGTTGAGCTGCTTGGCAACCGCACTGAATGTGGCTTGCTGAAGTTTTTGGGAGAAGATTTGAGGGCTGACTACAAGGGCGTCCGAGAGTCCAAGAGGGTTCTGCGGACTTGGCCATTCTCCTCAGACAGGAAGAGGATGGCAACCCTTGTGGCTGATGACAATGGGACAGGTGTTGGAATCTACCATGTCAAGGGTGCTGCAGAGATTGTTCTAGAATTGTGCACCAGGCAGGTGAGCAAGAGAACAGAACTACCAAAACTAGTAGGCGAGTGATAGGTGTTAGAAAGCAGCGCCAGCAGGTGGGATTTGTTTGTGAAGGAGAGAGAAGTTTGTCGTACAGTACCCCCGCCCTGATTAAGGGAATAGAAGGTGAGGCTCATGCCCTTGCTGTGAATGCTGTAGAGGTTATGATCGCAGGGGGAGGAAAGGGTACAGCTTGTATCACCCATGGCAAGGAAGGACCAACAAGAGAGTAGACACAATCATAAAACAGCTGTTTGGTCAGTGCATATGCATCACGTGCTCCAGCCTGCTGCAATTGTGGCGGGATTGAAGTCCAGTGAGATATCTGTTTGTAGCCCAAAACCCATGTTTCTTGCCACAGTTGATTGATCACGAAGTTCGTGTCACGCAGTAGCACAAGTGCTGGAACCTTGTGAGCGTGGCACCAGAGCTGTACCTTGTTTTGCTTTGGCCTTGTGCTCAGATTTGTGAAGATGGCTCCCGCACTGAGCTTACTGAAGAGTCCAAGTTGTCGATGCTGCCAGCATTTGGAAACAGCGGTTTGCGGTTGCTTTGCTTGGCATTCAAGGAAGTGCCCCTTGAGAGTGAGGGGGCCACTGCTGGTGGCTCTTTGCCTGGCGACTGTCAGGCTTCAGACCAGCTGGATCGAGATTTGGTCTTGCTGGGCATCGTTGGTCTTCAGGACCCCGTGAGGCCGGAAGTCCCTAGGGCGATTGAGCAGTGCCAGAGGGCAGGTTGGTCAAAATCGTGATCCAGCAGCTGCAGTTTTCGAAACACATCATTGTGCGTCATTTTGCCCCCAGTGTATTTGTCAGAAATGGCAAGGCGCGGCCCTTGCATGTTAAAGGCAACAACGCTCAATCATGCAAAAAGATCTTTTGCGACCTGAAAGGCTGTCCCAAAGCCTGTGTTATGACTATCTGGCGACGTCTATCCCAAATTCAAAGTTTGGGACCACCAGAATATCGAGGTTTGCTGTCTGTTTTCGCAGACAAGTGTCAGCCTGCTTCCAAGGACACACAAAGGCTCCCTTGCTGTGAATTCAAAATTGAAACTGTCTGCAGCAGCACTACCTGTAACTTTGTGTTCTGGGTATCAAGGCATCTTCTATTGTGTATTGAACTTATCATTGGCCTGAGTGGTTATCATTGGGCTAAGTACTGTGCTGACACACCCCCTGTTCATACTCATCATGTAGGCCCAACTCTCTGGTGCCTTGCGGTGCCGGCTGTGTCTTGCATTAGGCAAGCCCTTGGCACTTGCGCCCATACCTTGGCATCTCTTTTCAGATCTGCCTGGCTGAAGTGCGTGGACTTTCACACCTGTGTCTGCAGGCGTCGCTGTGAAAATGTTGACGGGTGACAATGCGGCAACAGCATCAGCGATCGCACAGGAATGTGGCATTCTGCCACAACTTGAACCAACAGCCTCCTCTTCTGGTGATTTCAGAGTTGCAAGCGATGGCACAGAGGAAGCTTCATCAAGGGCCGCAGGGGCGTTGGAAGGCTGGATGCCATCTTGGAATGGGTCCAAAGGTCCTCTGGTTCTTGAAGGGCCCCAGTTTAGGACCCAGGTGCTGCGGGAGGATGGAACTCTGAACCAGGAGGCATTTGATGAACTTTGGCCAAAGTTTCGAGTGATGGCACGGTGCTCTCCGCTGGACAAGTACACTATCATCCAAGGGGTGCATGCATCCCGGTGAGCTGAGAATGGGCAGCAGCATGTTCAGGACGTGGCAGGCAGTGGTTATCGATTTGACGATGCACATAAATCGTTCTCGGGGACCTGTCAAGTCGAGTCCTTGGATTGCAAGTGCTGTGCGGCGACTTCAAGTCATAGGGCAGTGCCTTAGGTTCGCCTGATAGGCGATGGCGATGAAAATTCCATGCACAATGTTCTGACATGTTTTCCTTCGCAAAAGCGCTCCTGCCAGGTGACAAGGAGCACTGTGCATCTTAGGGCAGCGCCTTGGATTGGCTGTTGCTGCATTCAGCCTTCCCAAGATAGCAAGGAATGCTGGGCCTTGTGCTTTTCTGTGCTGGTGGTTTGTTCACAGACCCTGTGCGCGCTGCCAGCAGCTGTGCTGTTCACGCACCCCTCTTCTTCTGCTCATCACTTGCAGACTGCCCCGTGCTCAACCCGCAGCCCTGCACACTGGCGCAGGCTGAAGAAGGGCCGGGAGATCGTCGCCATGACTGGAGATGGCACAAACGATGCCCCCGCTCTGCGGATTGCTGACGTCGGGTTTGCGATGGCCTCGGGCACACCTATCGCGAGGGAGGCCTCGGACATCCTGCTGCTGGACGACAGTTTCACAAGCATCGTCAGCGCTCTGAAATGGGGACGAAACGTGTATGCCAGTGTCTCGAAGTTCCTTCAGTTTCAGCTGACGGTTAACGTGGTGGCCGTGCTGACGGCATGTGCTGGCGCCCTGTGGCTCAAGGAGTCGCCCCTATCAGCAGTACAGGTGAATCAAACCGTTGGATTACATTTTGTGAACATGCCACAGAGCACTGCCAACACACCTTGAAATCCCTTGGGAAATTTCCTGGTGGTCTTTCTGGTTTTCGTCTATGTTCTGAAGCATTGTCCTCAAATATACATGTGAATGTGTACATATACATGCATGCATACAGAAGAAAATGTACTTGTGCACGTTTGCATCACATCAGAGAGTCTGGGTTGTTGTCGGTTCCAGGCTTCCCTGTATTGGACCGGTGCAGGTGGGTGCAGAATCAGAAAATAGACTTACGAGGTGAAGGGTACCTTGAGGTTTTAGTGGCATTGCCCCGCCATCTCCATTCCAGACTGAATGTGTTGTTCATCCAGAATAGGCAGGCTACTATGTTGCAGCAATATTGCTTTCGCACTGCTGGGAAGCGTCTTGGGCACTGTCGATGCACAGCTGTGCTGCAAATTTACAACGCTGTGCAGCTCGCTTTCACCATCTCGACCCTGCTATATGAGTGGGCGCTTGTGGAATCGATGAGGACGAGGATGTTGTGCTTTTCTTCGTCATCCTGTTGATTGGTCTTCTTATGTGGCTGGACAGAAGCAGCTGGTGGAGCAAGTGCCTTTGCCTCAACGTTTTCCACATCGATGGACGGCCCACTTTCAGATTCTGCAGCTGTTTCTGCAGCTGCCACTCTTTCCATATTTTAATCCTGCAGCTGTCGCTTTGTTCGACAGATTGGCTGCCCTTGAGACAACGGATTGACTGCCCTTGCATCGATTTGCTGATGTCGGGTACCATCCATCTGGTGCTGTGCTTTTGCTGAAAGTCGTACACCATTTGGTTGGTATACCCGAAACTCTGACAGCAGAATTGCTGTAGAGGACCCACAGGTTCGGCAACGTGTTTGCAGGGTCCGTACTAAGTCACGTCAGGCACAGTTCGCATCCACAAGTTGACTATATGTGCAAGATGGATATTTGCACCTATGGAGGCAACAATGCACCACACCAGTGCTACTGCCACCACCTGGCCGCCTGCGAATGTCAATTGAATGCTGTGTTGTCGTTGTGGCGGTGCAGATGCTCTGGGTGAACCTCATAATGGACTCCCTCGCCAGCCTGTCGCTGGCCACTGAAGCCCCCAAAGACGACGTCCTCGACTCCGTCCCGTACGACCCCCTTGCTTCGCTCGTCACGCCCACAGTCCTGCGCAATATCGTGGGCCAGAGCGCATACCAGCTCCTTGTCATGTATATCCTGGTCTTCCATGGCTCCGCGATCTTCCAAGTCGACCAGGCCCACGAGTTCACAATCGTGTTCAACGCGTTCGTGTTCATGCAGCTCTTCAACCAGGTCAATTCCAGGAAGATACATGACGAAGGGAACGTGCTGGAGGGGCTGCTGGGCAACAAACTCTTTTGCGGCATCCTTGGGCTGGAGGCCGCTGCGCAGGTGCGCATGGCACTGTTGTAGCTAGAGCTGGTTGAGCATCATTGACAGCTGGACGCATAAGAAGTGATGCAGAATTGGGAATTGCGTTAAGGACATTGATTAACGGACTGGATATAAAAAGACGGAACTCCTGTTGGCCCTTTGCTCGGCAGTAAACCGTTGCCGTGGACGCGAGCCAGCAGGCACCCCTCAGGGGTCGCCACCTCTCGCCCCTGCCGGCCTTCGTCAGCACCAAGTGGATGATCTAGGAAAGGCCGGATGCAAGCGCTGGTACTGCGGGTGCCTTGCTGCACTGCTGCGCAGAGCTGCCGCTGCACATTCGACAGAGCACAATAGTTGGTGGATGGCCCCGCCTGACAAACCCTGTTTGCTGCAAGGGGAGTGCATTGGCGCATGGAATGGAAGCAGCTGTTTTTCAATTTTTTTTGGGGGGGGGTAGGGAAGCGCTGTCGACATTTGTGGCCAGGGGACAGTATAGACCGCTGGAATGACGACACAGGTTGGCCCGCACCCTGGCATTTTGCTGACGGCGACTCAGAGTGACCTTGGGGGCATGTGGCGCGTGACATTGCTTACTTGGTTGTCAACCTGCTTGTGAATTGCTGTTTGAGCGCCTTTTGCGTGTGATGTGCAGGTCCTCATTGTGCAGCTTGGAGGGGCGGCATTTCAGACCACGCCTCTGACGCTGACGGAGTGGGAAGTGTGCGTTGGATTGGGAGCGTTGTCGCTGCCGGTGAGGGAGGTCTTGAGGCGAATCAGGCCCTTCGAGAAGTTGAAAGAAGTCGTAGACTAAAAACGCCAGGCATCCAACACTCGAGAAGGGGAGTCTCAACAAATGAAGTGCAACAGGGTGCGAGAACCCATGAATCCAACAACTATTCTTTTTCTGAGCGTTCACTGGTGGGACCAGCACTGGACGCTTGTTTTTGTAAAAGACGGACGGCGGGCGTGGCTTGCAACCAATTTTGAGCGAGGCGTAGGCCAGATGCAGATAGGTGTCCAAATATCCGGTGGCAGTAGGCGCACCTGGCATTGGTTGAGATTGCCAGACCGATGTGTGGGTGCGGCGAAGTCTCAACTGCAAAGTGGCTGCGTTGGAAGGTGCAATTGCTGCGTGTACCCGTCGTAATTTCCAGACCCCATCCAATTCTTGAGTTCGTCGACATTGACGTGATGAGAAGTAAGTTACACCAGCTGTGCCGACCGGAAGGAAGATTCGGGTGGAAAGTCGCGCGTGCAAGAGATTGTGGAAGGCCCTTAGGCCCGCATCCACATTCCTCAGACATTTGTGCATTTCTGCACTGTTGTCCTCGTCAACAGATGGCATGCTATTGCCCATTCACGGTGAGCGATGGCGGTGCAGGTGCCATGTCGGCATTTGTTCCCCGTGCTTCGCACGGTCGCCCTTACAAACACGCATTCAATCCGTTTGCATTTTCTACACTGCGGTCCAGTCATTTCAATCCATGAGTTCGTCACAACTGCTGCGGCATTTGCTGCAGAGCCCTGGGCAAACAGCAGAAGACTTGCAAATTCGCGTTGAAAGTGCAACCGCTTACATTGCCACTCTGAAAACGGTAATACGCTTCCCTGTGGAGGCTAACAGGCTGTCGAGGCACAATCCAATTCAAACGAACTCCGTTCTTCTTCGGTGTCAGGTGTGTCTTCCACGGAGACTTCTGAATGGCCTTGTTTCGGCCCAAAACCCTCCAAACACATGCCGCAAGGGCGGCGCCCATAGAGCAACCTGTTTGTGCCTCCTCTAGTAATGAATAAACTCGCAGCTATTTAGAGATATGCAGGCCAGCACACAATTACGCACAATTAACGTTAATACAGGCCCGCAAAGGCCCGAGCCAAACCTCCTTTCCTCAAGTAAAAATAGGCTCGAGGACGTCCTGAAAGGCCTAAGCGGCACCGGGCCCTGCAAGTGCCTGCATCCTGTGCGCTGCAGACGGCACACCCCATTCGCTACCCTCGTTTCATTTTGCATCCTTTGATTGGTCCCAGCTGGCCAATAGTGGGCCCCACTTTGGGGGATGACGTGTCAGGGAATGAGCACACTCACGATCTACATGCATTTTCCAGAGGCATCACACTAGCTGCTGTCCAGCCCTCCCTGCAATCTGATTTACAACAGCACCGCCGTGCACTCACTACCACCGCCCCATCCCCAGCATCCCAACTTTACAAATTGTATCCTGTACAATACCTGCGTCTCACCAGCGCCTACCTACCTTGCGAGGCCCCTGCAATGCCCCTCTCGGGCGGAGGCACGGAAGGGTGGCCCCCCACCATGGGCGCCTGCGGTGGCACCGGGTAGGGCAACCCTGGGCCAAGGGAGTGGGGTGGCGGGTACGCATGTGGAGGGGCCGCAGTGGGGCGGGGCCCAGCGGGAGGTGGCATGCTGTGCCCGTAAGCATCCCCTGAAGACTGCCCGCAGCTGCCTGTGTACCCATTGCCATAGCCGCCAGCGCCATAGCTTTGCTCTGCATATGGATAATGCCCTGCATAGGCGCTCTCTGGCGCTGCCTCCGGCGCAGCTGGTGATGACTGAAATGAGGATTGCCTGCCTGGGTCCTTGGGCTGTGCAACAAACTGCCACCATCAGCGCCCGTTGTGGTTGCGGGTGGGCGGCGGTTTGGGACGCAGCCATGTGTGGTGTCCGCAGATTTGAACCATGTTCTACAGTGTGGAATAGAGACTCGTAATATATCTTGGCCAGCATTGTCAGTTTGTTTGACACGCTTTCCTTTTCTGTCAGATTGGCCATCCTAAATAACAAACTCAACACCATGGTGGCAATGCAGTGTTGAAGAACGAATAAACCACGAGACAAGAGGAAAGACAGCCAGCTTGCACACCATGCAGCTCAACACCTTTCTCGACAAGCTTCTTGACAGCATTTCTCCACGATCTCTTGCACCATCGAGACAGCCGTTCAGAATTGTCCAGGGGCATTAGAATCAGGACAGCAATACTGGCATGCAAGACACTACAAACGGGCAGACACAGCACCATCTACAGAGTTGGGGGGGAATGCAAGCACGAAGGGACGCGCACCGGAGCCCTCCAGCCAGCATTCATTATTGGAGTCCGTGACTGCTGCACTTTCATGTTGCTGTTGCCCAGGGGCTCCCCGTCGAGGCTCAGGGCCGCCTGCATTCCAGGCGTTGTCGCGAACTCAACCCAAGCAAAGCGGCCGCTTTTTCTGACAGCCACCACCTGTGCAGAACATAACACAAGTGTCAACCAATTCACCGAGCATCCTAGCGGAGGCTAGGCCAAGACCACGCTCGACATGTAAAGTAACAATCTTTCTGGTCAGTGCTGAAGCAGCCATCAATGGATGCGCATTAACAATCGCCTACTTCCGAGTCCTGGCCTGTCTCATTGGCAACACATCTGTCCATGCTGGCATATGGTACCCTGTAACGTTGGTACATGAAACATGTCCATGTGGATATACAAATGCTGCATTCTGCATGGTCAGGCCTCATTAACAAGTGGATCAAGAACTGTGTTTGCTTGCTGCAGCAGCCATTATTGCCTGCTGAGGTGCAAGGGCATGTTTGTCATTTGGCATTGACAGATGCAACCAAAATCCACACATGCCGTGCTTTTGGGGGGTGATCTGGTGATGGTAACCATGCATGAGATCTCCCAAGTGGCCTCTTTATTGAGAAGGGCCAGTAACACTGCACTTCTGCATTCATTGGTCTCGGCTCGGCACTGCAGAATACACATTGTGGAACACATAGATCCCAGAAGAAGCATATCTTGGCTCAACACCCTATAGCATCAGTATCAGAATGCAAACATTCAAATTGTAGCCAGCAAATACTCAAGACAGCCCAAGGTACCACTTTACAGTCCAATTCGATGTTGCACACCCAAACAATAAGATGAGCAGCAACAATGACAAGCTTTTTATTGTTGAGATTGTGCGCTTATTACTGTGCCGCCGATCTTTTGGAATGTAAGTTGCCTTCCATTCTCTTCTGAGGTGGTGCAAGGCACACAGTGTTCACATCCAGTGGTGCACCTGGAACGTAACTTCTTGGCATAAATAAATGACAACAACAAACATCTGGCAAGAACAGGGATGGTGACATGCTCCTATTTGGTGTTGAACCTCCACATAGTCTGAATGCACGCAACAACCACAACTATAACAGGTTCTTTCTACTCTCTCTCGCAATTTCCTTGCTGTCATTTACAAAGGATTCCAACAGCCATCACAATTTACCTCCCCACAGTGTGAGAAGAATTCTGCAAGGACGTCCTCCTCTATGTCCTCCATGGGGATGCCTGCAACATGTATGGTCTTGTTGACCCTGTCGGGATCATTGTTCCTCAGGGGCCCGCCCCCCCTTGCTGGGCTGACACGAATGGACCGTTCGTAGACCTGCATGCCATCCAGCAGCAGTGCCGTCCGGACCTAAGCAGCAAGACAAAATACATCAGGTTACCTTTATGCCATGGGGTCACAAGCCAGATTCAGGCAGGGCACAAAAGCGAGCGCAAGACTCTGGGTACAAGAGTATCTGCACCCAGATCGATTCTACAATCTGCATGGAGCGTCACAAACGCCAAGTTCTGAGAGGTATGCGGTACTCGCCAGTGTGCCAAACAGGGCTACAAAATGCGGAAATGCATCGCCATTCAGCTGTCACCAAAACCCCACGACCCAAAAGCACTACGACATTCAACGACGATCAACATGACCAAGGCCTCCTTGCGTTGTGCCCATCCCGACCCTCACAAAATAATTGTCAATAACAGTTGCCCCCGCTGACTCCAGCAGATGACCCTATTCTGGCCAGCTGCTCAGAGAGCCGCCCTTGACAAAGAATTTATAACCGCCGTGTTCATGATGACAATGCACAAGCGAGTGCTCTGTTTGAGAGACCACAGCGTCCGGTCTGCTAACAATCAAACAGGGTTTCTGTCGCCGTGGGTCGCCCCAGCACAGCAAATTCAAAGCCGGCAAATGGTGATGGTCGTGGTGGGCTGCCTACCCTACAGGCCGCGGCATCCCATCAGGTGTCGCAACCACGCAGAGGATCCTTAACTCTCTGCACAACACACCATACCTCATCCGGGTGGCCAAACTCAATGAAAGCATATCGGGTTTCGAAGGACGGGTCACCGGCCAGCCGTATTTGGGTCACCTGCGTCGGGCACAAGGACAGATCGTCAGCGCTGCCGCGCAGGGGGCGCGCCCACGTTCCGCTCGACGGCCAGGGGCCGTCGCCAGGCCCGGGCATCGAGGGCATAGTGGAATCTGGCGCAGATGCCAGCAGCGCCGAGCACCAGATGGCCAATTCTCGAATCGCCAAAGCGGCCGCCGCCATGGTCTCCACCCCACGGTCGAATAGGCGCCGGCCCTCGGCGCTGTGGCCGAGGATGGGGACGCCCTCCCCGCGGCAAACTCCGGGAACATCGGTCCCGCCTTCCGCAAGCAATCATGCCCGGCCAGGATCCCGCCCGAGGCGCCGCGCTTCGCCCCCGGCCCGGCCGTTGTCCCGCCTCACCGTTCCGCAGTGCCCGAAAAGGGCCAGCAGGGCCTGCTCCGTCACGCCGCGACCTATGTTCCCCACATAGATCGTGCGCTCTACGGCGTGGTGGTAGGTGCTCATCCGGGTGGCCGAGCAGCCTGCCCCAGGGCCGTCCGGCGCTGGCGGGCGGGGGAGGGCGTCCGGCGCCTCCACGAGGGCGGCCGTGGATGCAGGCGGGGAGGGGCGCGCGGCGCGCGGCCGTGCTCGAGGCGCGTCGGGCGGGAGGCCTCGCTTGGGGAGGGTGCTTGAGAGAGCGAAGGACTCAGAATGGCCGGGGCATCATTTCTTTCGGCACTTGTGCGCCCATTCGCTCCGCTGATGAGCTGGTGGAGGCTCTGGACGGGCGGGGCCACTCTATATATAGTGGTGATGCGGCATAATGACGACACATGGACTGAATGGATGGCCTGGCCGCAGAGGGACGTCGCTGTTTGGGAACTGTCTGCAGCTCCGTTGCCTCCGGCTCGCTGCCAGACTGCCTCCACAGCGGCCGCTTTCCCAGTGGCGAACCAGCCAGCGGCCTATCAGTGGCTCGTGCTGAAACCTTGCTCACTGACGTGGGGTGCACGGCAAAGTGGATGCAACGCGTACCGTTGCATTTGTCTGCACCAGTGACCGCAGACTATGCCCAAATCCGACGGACCTCCGTTTGACGCAGCTCGTCGCCGCATCCGAATGTTGGCTTAAAATCCGGCGTCAAAGTCTCAAATGCAGACCCCAAGACGTTATTCCCGTTCCTGCTGTGCCTGTTTTCTATTCTTGCCCATTCCTTTTTCTACTGTTTGCATCCACGTGATCCCAAGTTGTCTGTGCGGTGGGCTTGCCGGCTTCAACGGGCAAAAATGAATCGTGCATCGCTTGGATGATGCTCGGGTCAATTTTTTGCGTTTTGCCTGTGGCTTACTTCTTCCGAAGTTCCGCTTTGATCTCGTTGCAGAACGACCCTGAGGCTTTTTTTTGTCATCGTGTGCTTCTTTTGTGAAGCCGGTAGCTCCATAACCGCCCTTCCCTCTTGATGATTGATTCATGGAGTTTTCTCAGGAAATTTTTTTCTCAGGAACTTTTTTCTCAGGAATTGCCTGTACCTGCTTGATAACAGAAGGTGCAGTTCGCAGTTTATGACCTTTGTGAACTTCCTGCCTTCCTGTTTGGGGCTTGCTAGAAAAACATCAGTTACTCTACTTCTCCTTGGGACAGCAGGGAGCTCGCAGGTCCTTACTTGCCTTAACATGCAACCGTTCTTGACTGACTGGACTTGCATGCAGCCAGACTGGCAGGCACAGAGTGGCAGGCATAGCATGACAGAGCTGCTCTAGCGTCTGCATGTGGCGACATCACCTGCAAACAAATCGCGTGGGCCTACCAGCAATGCTATCGTGGCCCAGCGCCCCAGTTCGCCATTCATTGCCTCAAGCAAAATTCGTTGGGGTACAGGAGCAAGCCTTTCAGGGGAGCACACTCACTACATGTGGACGGCACCTGACGTCAACTGACAGTTGCCAGCTTTGTGCCTTGCCATTCTCCCGCCAATGTGACACACAGATGCACTTGCCAGCTGCTCAGCTTGGGTAGCGTCTACTGAGAAATTGCGACACGTTCATCCACTCGGGTCTGCCGCCGCGTTCCGGCCTCTTGTCTGCCTTCGTATCTTTTCATCGAGGTAGGAAACTCGGCTGCACGGCTGCATATTTGTGGCAGTCACCTGGCAAGCATCATTCTGAGAGAAGCCGCCCACCAGGATCTATGCACAAGGCTCCATGCACAGGTGAACAGCAGCACATGTTCTCAAATGTACATGTTACAAGGACCGCCTCTCATTTCCACGCCCCCCACCGAGCGCGCATCCCCTCTACCTGCAGCACCCAATCCCCCAGCCACCCCATTCCCTGCTGCCATAACTTAGCCACCCCTGCAACCGGTCCCTGGGACGCCTCATTTATCACCGTCCCTGTGCTCGGCCACCTGCCCAACGCCCCCCGTCTCGAACCCTGCCAGCGTGCCGGGGCTCGACCACGTCGCCAGCGTCCCCGAAACTCCAGCCCCAAACCCAATGGTCACCGCAGGCCCTGAGCCGATCTCCACCTCCACCTTCGCCTCGGCCCTACCGCTCCTCCCCGATTCATCCAAATCCTCCTCGTCAGACTCGGGGATCGTCTCGATGCCCGGAGCGCCAAGGTCCTTCGGGCCCGGGTCCCTGCCGCCCCCGATGCGCATCGTCACAGGGGGCCTTAGCTGCAGCTGCCCTCCCCCTAAGGGCCCGGTGCTTGGCTCCCGGCAAGACAAGCTTCCCACAGCAAGCCCGTTGGCTGAACTGGATTCCGGCTCTCCCTGGGGCGCCCTCGACAGGGGGCCCAGTGGGAGCATAGATGGCTCCAGAAGAGGCTGTGTGGGGCCCACCGATAAGGCGGAGGGGTGCACGGCGGTGTGGGTCTTTACGAGCAGGGGGGTGCGGGGCGTCTTGAGCTTGTCCGACGGAGCGGCGTGGTCGATGTCCGTGCGTGATGGTCCCAGGACGCCTTGGAGCGCGCCTGGAAGACAGTTAGAAGCGAGTAAGGTGCAGGTGTACAATACTGAAAGACTGGAACACAGTAAAGCTAAAACTTTTCAAAATATTGCTGACAGCTTGGAATGTCATTCCTCAACAGTTGAGTGCTCAACTGTTGCACACACGGAGAAGTTTCCAGACATCATCTGGTTGGGAGCAAACAGACACCATTTCCGAACTGAAGGGAGCGTAGCCTTGAAACTCCTGTGCACAGTGGCGATCCGGATTTGGGGCTTCATTTGTGCAAGTGGAAAATGCAAGCCTGTCTGCGTGCCTTTGAAAACTCCAGACAAGCTTATCAACTGCAGACAGCATACTAATTCTGCAAGGTGCATATTGTCTTATGCTTATTTCCTTGCCGATGCAGATGGCAAAATGCCCTTGTTTCCTGCACTCAAGAAGACCTGACAGCAAATACTCTGCAAATGATGCCATCTGCCTGGCACTGAAGCACATCTGCATTGACTGCAGCAATCTACAGCTGTGACAGCACACCGATTACATATCTCACAACACGACGAACAGTAAAACTATCCACATGGCATCCTGGATACTCCAATGTTTGCTTCCATATTTCATGTTCGAGCTGGAATGAGTGCAGTCAGCTGGACGAAAAAGCTGAACTGAAAACAAGGCAACAAACAAAAATGCTTGCAGACATTTTCTCTTGTTTTCGTGAGGGATTTTATAGGGATTCGGTGGCAGCTATGGTTGTCATTAGAGGCGTGTTTTCGGTTACATAGTTGGGCCCGGACGTGCCCCTCACACACTGGATTGGTACGCTACATTGATCGATACCGTGGCTTCATGTCGATGCATCCATGTAAGGAAGAAACAACCAAACAAACGAACAAGCAAACAACAAACAAAAAAGAAGTCACTGCAACATTTGCATCCCAGATAAACAAACTGTAGATCATCGGTGCTTTGTGCAGTGCTGGGAGGAGCGCTCAATCAGCGTGAGTGCTGCAGCCGCCTGACAACAAATGCCAAGAATGGTCCGATCCTGAATTCCATAAAACAATGGAAGAAGTTTGGAGCAGTGAACACAATCACTGAGAATTTGAAGCATAGAACACCCACAGCAACTCACTTGATGCTATCCCAACAGCATCGTCTGCGCCAATGGATCCCAGATTGGCTGATGTTCCCCGAGGTGTTCCGGCTGAAAGCCTTGGAGACCTATCTGTCAACTCGATTGACGAATTCCAGCCACTTGACTGCCTGGCAATCTGTAGCACAGCATACTGGAGATAAGAGGTTATGTGGCAAAGACAAGCCTTCAGCTTCAAGTACACAATACTTTCATTCTATTGTGGCAATTGTGTCATCACATATTCACTATACTGCCACCAATGGGCCTGTTCTTGATGTACTGCGAGCCAGGTACATGGCAAGGCATGGCCATACTTGTGTTTGTATCACTGCATCACTGCACTTTGACCAAACTATTCTCCAAATTTTGTTGATTGTGGGGCTTCTGATGGACACATCGTCGTGAACCAGGACAGTGAGGATGGCAGTGAGTTTAGCACGACCTTGTTACATCATCGCAATCCAATGGAAAAATGTCCAATGCTCAAGACAGAGCTAGTCATTGACACATGGCTTGCAGTCTCCCAAAACAGTCTTGCTGCTGAAAAGGGCAAGGCTGCACTGAAGGGTGTAACCTCAATCACTTGCACTGACTGTCTGCGGTCCCAGCATGCTAGGTCTCCAAGTCAAAGGCGGGAGATGTAATAACCAAATACACATCTCATCTGACCTCTGCCATACAGGAATTGGCCTACCAACAACACGTTGGCAATCGCAGTGTGGTGGAACGATGGAACGATGATGGGTGAAAGAGCAGTGCATTCGCATGTTCTTTTACAAAGGACTCCGTGCGGATTGACAGCACTGTCGCAGAAAACGGCAGATGTAAAAGATCGATTTGGTCTTCTGGAAAAAGGACACCAGGCAGCATAAATGCGGTTTATGGGACCAAAACGCTGAGGTTGGAAAAAAGGGACCGCCCTGACCCAGGAACTTGCAACAGCACTGTTGAATCATTTCTAGCAAGCCATCCTAGGTGGAATCACCAGTGGGGCAGAGAAGTTGATGCCCAACAGTATTGACACTATGCTATAGCCAGATGTTCACTGCATGCTATGATTGGTTGTCAACATTGTAGCCATACATTTTGTCATTGAGTCTCCTTGGAAGCACAATTGGTTATGAATCTCATGACTTGCCAGTACCCCACAACTGCCAAGAGGCTGTCGTTGTGCTACCAGTGCCATCGCCCCCAGGATGCACAGATATCAGGCAGGTGCTCACAAGCAAGCACACTTGAGCTGTCATACAACATTGCCATGGGCTTTTCATTTCTGACAGCTACTTTTGCTGCTTGTTGCATTGCTCCAAATCCCCATCATGACTTGCACGCTGAACTGAATGCAGGTCGTCAACTGCGCAGCACTGGCAACAATCCACACAGAAACCACCTGTGGAGGTATGCTTCCGCCTCCCTCTTTTGTCACACTTCAGGAGCACAGCCCTGGACCCATTTTCTTTCCAGACATTACATCACAGTCAATGTAAGGCAAAACTCTGAAATCTTATTCGAGATGTGTGCGTCACCTTGCAGACCCACTTGGAGATCCATCAGCACAGCCTGCACAAACACACTTCCTAGCGCTTACACTGCACGCAAATCCAACAAAAACCAATGGTTACCCACCTGTGGTGGCCTCCCCCTCGGCCGACCCGTTTTGCGTCCAGGCCTGCCCCGTGCACGCACCCCTGACTCATCCCCGTAGCACACGGCAGTTGTGCTGGGTGCACTCCCCAAGGCTCCCATAGGCACAGATCCCCCAGCCATCCGCTCCCTTGACAGGCCTCCCTCCAGACTGTCCAGCGGCCGCTGCCCGGGGAAGCCAGCTGACATCCCCAGCCCGTGCCCCTCCTGCATTCCCTTGGCCTGTGGGGCCTTTTTCGACCCCAGCACGCCCTTGCTGTCCGTCTTGTTCTTCTTCTGCGGGCCAAAGACGACCATGTGGCGCTCCTGCTCAGAGGACTCCATGGCCTTGTGCCGTGTGAGGAAGGCCTCGTCAGATGTGGCCTCCGAGTCGGAGCTCTGGTCCTGAACGTTCTGCAGGGCGGCCACGACCTCCTCGGGCACAACTGACGTCGTGGGGTCCTCGAGCAGCAGAGCTCTCCAGGCTTTTATGGCCTGGGAGAGGGGCAAGCCAAGTTGCAACCTTTTTGAAAACTGACTTCCCAACAGAAGGACAGCAGGTCACACAACTCCATGCCTGAGCAACAAAAAAGCAAAGAAGCAAATGCGCTCTTGAAAAGGGAACAATTTTGCAGGCATGCTTCCAATTATGTCTTTCCTTGCTGTGACCATCCTTTGTTGCGCTGCTCTACACTGCCCCAACCTGCTACAAGGTGCATTTCTCTTTTGCTTATTGCCAAGCACTGCTCCCCTTGTAGATTCCAGATGGAGCTGGTTTACACATCTATGCAGTCTCCGTTTATCCAATTACCTATAAGGCGCTACCAACTGATACATTCTACACACATAGGTCCACTCACCTTCTCTCTCTGTTCGATCTCCTCATCTGGCAGCCTCGACACACTCGGCACTGAGATGTCATGCTTGGGCGGCCGTTCGATGGAAGGTGCCCCTGAGAGGGTCCCTATGCCAATGCTCAGGTCGTCTGCCTCGTTCACGCTCCGAGCCCGCTTAGTTTGGTCTGGGCGAGATATTCGAGGTTTGGGCTGAGAGATTGACCTCTGGCTTTTCTGTGGCCGAAGGGGAGTGGGTTTGGGGGGCAGTGACTGCCCTACCTAGTGCAACAGTTAAGCTTGGCCTTCAGACAGCTGCACAATGAAACTTGGTACTCAGTCATTAGATGAATATTTCACTTTTTTTGTCGATGGCATATGCACTGCAGTGTGCATGTGTGGAGAGGTGCACCAAAGCACACAGCCAGATCTTCTTGTCAGCTGTGCTGTGGCCCCGTTCGCGGATTGCGATTGTACAGCAGGCTCATACTGCCCACCCACTGCCCACCATTCCTATCGGACAAACAATGCTTCCTGAAGTTCAAACATAGCCACAGCACAAGACTCTGTCCAAGCAACCAATGGACACATCCATTCATGCTGCTTAGCCCTGATATAACTTAACAAGCGTGAAAGCGCTGATCTGCAATCCTCAGAGAAAAACATCCATGGGGATTTTCGCTGTTGCCTGTTGTGCCACAACCAGACACGAATGTGCCACACCTCACTGGCAAAACACCACACCACAATCACACTCGTACCTTTCTTCTTGCTTGCACGAGATTTATAAGACGCTTTGCTTCCTCCCCCAGAATCCCCAACGCAGCATGGGCACGGGCCGCATAGCACTCGTCATCGCTGTCTGTGAAACCCCCAGCGTCATCCCCGCTCTGGGCACCAGGGGTCGTCATATTTGAACCGTTCTCCTCCGTTTCCTTTTCTCTGGGCTTCTTGCCCAACTTTCCTACACCACAGTGCAGCGAAAAGAAGGGGTGGTGCAGAATGCGATCGCGTTGCAGATCTGGGATTTCGCTCCGTTGCAGCTTCCTTTTGAGGTGGCCACCATCGCGTGGGCAGGCTTCTGTGGTGCTGGATTTCTTCATGTTGTCAAAGGGCCCAGATCCCACAGGGGAGGAGCAGGGCAGACTCTGGCTGGTGGTTGGCGTCAGGCCCTGGCAGCGGAAACTGTAATGCTGCTTCTGGGCACGAAGTGCACGCAGCCTAAGCTCCAGCCACCTACGTGGACATACAGGATTTCAGGTAGGCACAACTGGCCATGCTCTGGGGATGACATACCCAAGCTACAGACACAGAAAGCTCTATTAGAGACGTCAAGCTATTTCATGTTGCAGCTCCATGAAATCTGAAAATGAAGCAAAGATGGAAGCACATGCGTCATGAGACAAGTATCATTGGCAAGTTGCATGTCTTGGATATTGTCCCCACACAGGGGGAGTGGCTGGCTTGATCCACAAGCATGGTTGCAAACATCACAAAAGAAGACCTGGCAACCTGCAGTCTGATACCTAGCTGTCAACGAAAAGTAGCAGAGCTACACTGAGCACAAATTGGCAGCCATTCAAGAAAGCATCACATGTACCATAATGTGTGGCAGCAATGATTCCACACTTGAAATAATACCATGTTGCTAAGGCCACACATTTGACAAAATTTGAGCCACCCAGCAATCCCATGAAGCATCTTTTGGTGGTTTGAATAGTTGTGAACCAAGAGATGACAGTTGTATTGGATCCATGTCAACGTGACCATCAGAAATGACAGGCACAGGAGTGCAAGGGCGCTTTTTTTGGCCCAATGAAGCGATCTCCTCTGTACAGCTTTTGGGACTGTAGTTCTTGCATATGGCAACCAGCTCAAAGGTGGATGAGATAGTTGAAGAACATCGTGCCTGTGCGCATGCCAATTGCAGCGCATCAGGCCATGTGCTACTTTTCCAGTTGCGAAAGTGCTGTGGGGGACATTTGGTTCAATCTGTTGCAGGGACTGGCGTTATAGGATGCAGTCATTCAGCTGCTGACAAGGCTGCCAAAATCTGGCAATGACAAGCACACAATACCATCGACCACACAGCCAGCCCCTTCCTCGTCATCTTCCATCCACTCAAATGGGAACCAAAACCAACGTCGGGAAACCAACTTCAACAAGAAGGAGAGCAAACTCAACACAAAGAATTTCACCTGCAGCGCCACTGCACACTCCTGCACATTTCCTGCCAGTCCTCTGGCAGGCTCGTGTCATCCTCCCGCTCATCTGCTGCCCCCTTCCGCTTCTTTGCCCGGCCTTCTTCGTCCCCTTCTGCCCCCTCGTCCTCTTCCTCTACCTCTCCATGCACGCTGCTCCACGGCTCCCAAGCCACGCCTTCATCCAAATTGTGCAGAAAGCGCTCCATGTCTGCGGGTCCCACCGGCCCCCAGCCCCTCGTGTCCTCCTCGTCCGTACCAGAGAAACAGCTATAGGAATCAACATCTGGCTCCACCTGCTCGGCCTCGGGAGGGCTCAGTGGCAGGGGGTACTTTCCAGGGCAATGCAGGAAGGCATTCAGCGGCTTGGGCTGACCCAGCTCCTCAGCCTCGTCGACCTCGTCGGCCATGGCCTCAGAGGGCCCACCTGGGTGGAGGAGGTAGATGGCCAGGCGTGCATCCAGCTCCATCTCCTGCCCACACAAAAGAGCACCACGCCGCAGGGTCAGCCCCAATGCTGCCTCCCACCAGCCCAGATAAATTCCCAGGTCCCATCCGCCACAAAATCCACGAACTGACGGGAATCAAGTCCACTTTCCACCCCACCAGGCTGGTTGCTGGCACCAACAGGTCATCGACCCCCAGCACAGCTGCACGCGAGCTAGCCTCCGCCGAGATCGACCAAGAAACTCCTCTCGGCGTTCGATTGCCGCCCATCCGCCCCGCCGGGCCACCCCGCCCGCCCTCACCTCCAGGTCCAGCTTCCCCTGCCGCTGCAGCTGCAGCGCCGCCTTGTGCACCTTGCTGCGCCGCTGGTTGTACTCCATCGCGTTGGCGCATATCAACTCGAAGTCCCTCACGAACGCGCCCCAGGTTGTGTACGCCCGCGAGCGCACCTTCTCGCTCATGCGCTGGAAGCACATCGGGTTGTCGATCACCTGGGAGTAGTTGGGCGCCTCCGCGTCCGTCACGGGCTCCTCGAAGAAGCCCAGGGGGTCCTGCCCGCGCAGCCGATCGATCACCGAGTCCAGCACCTGGATGGGGCTGAACTTGACCATCGACCCCATCCCCTCCCGCCCGCACGCACAGCCAGCCGGCTGAACTTCCAGACCCGACTGCGATTGGGATCAAAGGCCGGCCGCCGACATGAGCCGTTCCGCGCTCCCTACGCCCTTCACCGACCTCCCGGCCGCCGCGGCGAGCGCTCTTTCCGCGCACGCCCCTCTCCGGCGGGCGGTGGGCAATCGGCTGATGGCCGTGTCGCGAGGTCAGCACGCGCCCCCGTGTGCCGGCATGCCTTGCGCGATTCCTCCCCTTCCGCCCCTCCGCCGCGCTGCAGCCCGGCTGTCCGCGAGCGAGCCGGCCTCCGGACCTCTCCTTCCCTTGCGGCCGACCTTCCCTCGCTCTTGCGCGGCCGTCGTCAGCGCGGGCGCCGGCAAGCTGCCTGGGACACGTCTTGCTGCATGCGCCGGTGCGGTGTCCCCGGTGTGCTGGTGGCGCCAGACGGCATTTAAAGCGGTGATTGGAGCGATTTCACCGGGACACGACCACTACAGCCCCGCCGCCCAGCCCCGGATGAACCTCACTGACTTCCTGCAATCGCTGGAGGCGTCGCACCTGGCCAGGCTCTACGACCACCAGTGGACCGTGCAGGCCGTCTTCCGGTCGCTGCCGCCCGTCGCCAAGCAGTACGCCCTGAGGCTGCTGTTCGTGGACCCGGCGGAGCACGTGCCCGCGGGTAGGGCAAGGGTTTCCAGCCTCGCGCTGCGCGGGAGATCTGGGATGGGAACTGGGATTGATATCAAAAGTAGCCAGTTTATAGATTCAGGATGCCTGGGCGGACGGCTGAGCGGGGGGCAGCCTGCCGCGCCGATGAAGGATTGGGGCGGGAAGGCGCCACGTTCAGCCGCTGGGATCACCGTTGGACTCTGGAAGGGCCTGGTTAGGGACGCGTGAGGGGTTGGAGGGATGAGGCACCGCCGCACCGTCCACGGCGCCGGGATGGTGGCTCGATTCTGATGTCTTGGGGGGTGGCTGTGTTTGGCGTGGGGACGAGGCGGGGGTGGTGGGTTGTGTGGGTGTGTGGCGACTGGGGCCGATCAGGTTGTGTGTTCGGTCCCCAGTTGTGTTCGACAGCTGGATCAAACCCGAACACCGGAGCAAGCACGATTCTGCCAAGGCCAACCTAACAAAGCTCCAGGTGCTCATCTACTCGGAGAGGTGCGGGCCAGAGACGTCAAGGCGATGCTGCCGGCTGGCAGATTCTGCACACTGAATCCACACAGAATGAAGCATCTCTCAGCACATGAATCCAGTTACAGCAAGGAACCATGTCACCAGATCTCAGAACCTAGAAGTGTCCATCCATCTTTTCAGGAACTTGTTAGGGGGCCAGTCCCAGCAATTGTTCGGTCGTACGGCAAAGGCAGGTTCAACCACTTGTGCTGCTCCGAGAATGCATCGAGGATCAATTCAGCTCCAATGGTGCCTTGAGGGCCTTTCCGCTGGGTAGAGCACCGCATTGTCCAGTTGCCGCCCAGTCCGTACCCGGATGTTGACACAAATTTTGACATGCACTTGGCGTTCAGATCAGGAAGCCCTGGGTATCGCCTTCACCCCAAGTTTCAAGCGCTGCTGAAGTTGGCTGTGTGCGGGGGGTGAGTGCCGCTGATCACAGCCTGACACTCATTTACTTCAAAAGGTATATGGAATGCATGGATATTGCTGCAAAGCAGGTGTAGAACATTCCTTGCCCGGGTGAGCGTTCTGCATGTGGTACCAGTCTGTGGCCCATCCTGGCATTGCTAGTGGACCAAAAGAGATTGAAATTGGTGGCCCACATCTCAAACTAATGACTACCTGGAAATACTGCTCTTCTTTAACTACACGACTGCTATTATGACTTTCCTATTGAGTTGGGGCTGGGATGCTGGGGCGGGGCCATGGTAAGTAGACAAGCATTTGCGAGGTCCTTGTAGATTGCTGGCAACTGTCTTTGATGAAAGTGCTGTTCATGCCTCTGCAGTGAATCCTATTGTTGGCTAAACCCCTCAACATTATATCTAGTGTAACCACCGCTCTGCCTCTGATATTGCTCTGTTAGCCACAAAGGCAGTGATTTGTCTCATTCTGGCACATGTGGTCAACAGTGCTTCACACCTATCGTCCGCAGGGGGACAATTCATGCCACAGTACCGGCTGACGTCGTGCCACACATCCCATCACGAAGTGCTCTGAATGCACATGCAGAGGGTCAATGGGAGGTGGGACTGTATAGCGCAGTGGCTGTGGATCTTTCCAGCCGATTCGACGGTGCTCATCTAACGAGTTGTTGCAATGGAAAGAGCTTGTTCGCCACGACGGGGTGTTTCTCAATGACATGCATGCAGATCCATGCAAATGACAATTGTGGTTTAGTAGCCACCTTTGACCTGTCGCCTACTACACCTTGACAACAAATGCTGAACCCTACGTTCCTCTGTTGTCTCGTAGTAACTTCCAGGAATGAATCACTTCGTTATTCCATGTGTTCCATGAGCTGGACAGCCCACTTCCCACAATGCCCTGAGCCCACAGTGCGCTCACATGGCGATGCCCATTGGATACCACTGTGAATGCAAAATGTGCCTGCAACATGTGCAAGCTGCAAGGATGCCGTTTATTCTAAGAGTGAAATGGAATCCATGTATTTCGGCCCATCCCCTGTCAGGTCCTGACCGAATGTGATGTTGTGACATGTCAATGGAATCTTGATTGAGTGATTGGCTGATCGGACCAGTGACGGATTGATTGATTGACTGATTGGTGCAGTGTGGCTGCTGTTTTGTAGGCAATGCTCCTGTACTTGGTTGGAACCAGGGGGTCCCCTCCAGACATCCAAACTGGACTGGTATGCACTTTACCTGTTGAGCTTGTCAACAAGAACATTCATGGCCTGCTGGACTATGGAACATTGCCTGACAGATTCAGTACTCTAGCGGTGTCCATGCAGCAACGTGCTTGCCACTACCTCTGATTTAGATTTTGCCATGGGTGTCCTGAGATTAATGACACAGGTCATGGTTGCCAGGAGGTGGAGCCATTGCCCTTCGATGAGCTCTTCAGGGGTGCTGGTTTGGTGGTGTCTAACAGGTACGTCACTTGATATCTGTTTCATACATCAATTTACCGAAACCTTTTCTGTCAACTTGTCATTGATATAGCCAACGGAACTGGTGCGGTTGTAGGTGTGTGTGGGGGGGGGGGAGCAGATAAAATGAATGGATGAGTGGCAGAACACATTTCAAGATGTCCACATGCTCGTCATCGCCTGCCAGGGTGCAAGGGTCCCACTTCTTTTTGCGGAAAGCGCGTTTAAATGAAGGCATTTGGCCACCGGAGCTGCTCATTGATGCTTGTGTGAAAGGATTAGAGTTGTGGAAAGTAGTAGATTGTTTGGTTTGTTTTCTTTCCACTGGCCATTATCTATCTGTTGCTGACTTTGTTCCAGGCATGTTGCAGTGTCAATTTGTAGTGGCCTCGTTCAAAAGAGCCTTAGGATGCACACGTTCACAGAGTTCTGTGTTGAGCTGTAAGCACAGGGATTTCAGTAGATGCAAACCCATTGGGGCATCAAGGCCGTTTCTGGCACTCCACTGAGCTGTAGACTCTTGTGCCCAAGAACAGGAGTTCAGCTCGATCCCACATCAGTGATTCAGGCTTCCAGTTCCTTCTTCTGGACACCTCCAGTCAAGTGTGGGTCGCCATCAGCGAATACATAAGCCAAGCAGAGAAAACAATGGGTGCGTGATAGGCATAGATGGCCGCTTTTCATGCCTCTTTTTGCTGTTGTGAAACTGTACCATTGTCACGTAGCTGTGCAGACTGGCCACATCTCCGCTCTTGCCCAAAAAGACTTCTCAAGGGCGACCTTATTGGCTTTGGCGTGGACATTCACTGTTTGCATCAAACCTTAAGACTAGCCAGACTTGTCAGACTTTTGCCATTTTCGTTGTGCGACTGTGGTGTGCTTAATGTTGATGTCGCACATTGCCATCTGCCCCTCCTTGACTTGCTTGGTCCTCGACTGCTGGGGCATCCTGCAACTATTAGTTATTTGCAGCAAAACTGCTGTTCAGTTGTGTACATTGAAAGCTTTGTTGTCTGCAAAGGCGTGAACATGTCTGAGGTTGTCAGCTTCCTGCTTGAATTGGCTTTCCGGCCAATGACGCACCCGGGGCACATGCGGGACCTCAACCATGGTCAAAGCAGGGTGGCTGCACACATGACGCAGCTGGGCATCATGATGATGTTCAAGGTGAGGGTTTCACTTGGCAGAGGCTGCTGTGTTGAAACTCAGTGCTTTTATCTGATTTTGACAAGCAAGCCAAATAGATTTCGAGGGTTGGGGTTTAGGTGTTACTGCAGATGTCCTGACCGTTGCTGCAGAAGAGGTATGTTTTTTGAACCTTGACTGACTCATTGATAACGTTAACGGCTGACACTAGGTTGCGGGCTTGGAGAGTTCAGTTGTTAAACAGAACGGCCCTCATGTGACTGCAGCCGGTAAGAAAGTTGCAGAAAGTCAGATCTTTAGGAGCAAAGGAAAACCCCCACTGGTTGCCAATATGTTTTGTCAAAGTACATGGCTGCAGAGGGTTGGATTGATGTGCTGTGAAGCTATGAGCAGACTATGACACCCACTGGGGCTATGCACTATTTCAGTAGGCACGCGCTTGTGGAGTGTGCAGGTCTCCTGATGCCTGTATGTTTGTTGCCTTTCAGGCTGGCACATCGATAATGTATTGCCCCACACCGCTGGCCAGGTGCCTGTGCAACAGCTCTACAGCTGGTGTGGGGGGATCGCAGCAGCAGGGCTTCATTGTCGTGGAGACCAACTACAAGGTAATCATCTCCAGGGGTGGCTCATCCGAGGGACGTCCCTGTGCAGAGGCTCAATTGTAACAGTGCTGGGCAAGTCTTTTATTGCTTGGCAGTGCCATAAGACTGCATTAGTAGCGCCTTCACGTGGAAGGGGACGACCTCTCTGACCTGGGTTGCTGCAGTGACAGTTGGCAGACAAGTATGGTTGCAATACCACAGCATCCTTGTGACACAGTTGAAGCCTCACAAAGGCCCTTGTGCAGCTCTACACATGCCGACATGCCATCGCCCTGTCTTGATATCGTTTGCATCCTGCTGGTTCCACCTATCTTGGCCCCTCGGGGATATCTGAGCAGTCCACAGTTGTAGACAACGGTGGCGACAATGTGGTGCCCACCAAATCCCTGGGAAAGTCAGAATCGGTGGCTGTGGAAGATGTCGATGTTGGGCATGCTTTGGTAACTCACCATTGCCCCTGCCTGCTCCAGCTGTATGGCTACGTAACGTCTGCCATCCAGCTGGCTATCTTGGAGCTCTTCACTCGCCGCGAGTGCCGCTTGCCCAACCTGTTCGTTGGAAGCATCAACCGCGACAGCATCGCCAACGCCCTGTCTTGCGGCATAACCGCTGAGCAGATCATCTCCTACCTACAGGCGCACTCACACCCCAAGATCAACCACAGGGTGCCAATTGTGCCAGAGGTAATCGACGACACTGTGCACATGGTGAAGGATGGTTCAACACAACGTTTGTGACTGTGTGGATATGCTGTGCTTGGTGGTGTCAGTCTTTTGTTCGCATTTGTCTGAAAGTGGATACACTATCAGCAGCAGGCAGTCCCCTTGCACCTTCCATTGCGATGGTGAGCAGAGTTGTTGACGAGTTGTTTCCTCACTACCTTCGATCAAAGAATTACCACAGAACAAAGAAGGAAATGAAATCATGTGTCCATCGCATCCCAGGCAGGGTAAGATATGTCAACAATGGGATACTATCACAATGGCCTTGATGGGAACATCATGCGATGTTCTTGTACGATTCTGTCTGTGCATCCTTCCATGGCTCTTGTCCAGGTTGACAAATTTGTCCCAGACCTTACAAGGTAATCGAAGGCCGGAAGTGCAGTTTCATTGCTGCTCCTGTATTGCTCCACGATCGCCAGATCCGCCCAACTGCATGAAGCTGAGGCAGGCCATAATACAAAAATAACAAAAGAGGTTCTAAACATTCAGTGATTGGTGTCATCAGATCCAGTTTCTTTTCTCTCTGTGAAGCAAGAGCAATTTTCGGAAGAAATTTTGTAGGGCGTGTCGCTGCATTAAGTTGGCCTGCTGTCCCTGCCAAAAGCAGGTTGTGGCAGATCAGATTCGGCTGTGGGAGGCGGACATGTTGCGTGTCAAAACCCTGCCGTCTGTGCTGTACGACGAGTTCCCGTCGCGCTATGTCTTCACGGAAGCCACTTCCTATGCTCAGCAGAAGGGCGTGTACCTGTGGGACGACGGCAAGTCGAAGCTAATTGCTAAGCTTGAAGGTGACAGAGAGCAGTGCATCTTAACAAGTCATGTTGTGGATCGGTGTCACGTTGAAGTTCATGGGTGATGATCGTTCAGTCACTCGCAATGGTGTTCACCCAATCCAGGAATTTGCAAGTCTGAGCGAGGAGCTGGACTCCCAACTCCGTCCGAGCAGAACTGCGTAAATGAACAGTGAAGTGAAAAGAGACAAGCACTTTGCCAACCAACTGTGTTGTGTCGCATCGGAATGCAGCAATTGTCACGAAATGCAAGGTTGTTGTGCACCTTGTGTCAGGCGACCAAGAGATGCGAACGCGCATAAAGGAGCTGAGAGGCAGGTAATCCAATTGATGGCGAGAGGCGTCAACTCCCCACAGACGTGTAGCTTCTGTGGGCGGCCCACGATTCCAGTGCGGCGTGTTTGGGTGTGGGTGTTCGTGGCTTAAATCCCAGGAGGAGACGCCGAAGCAATTTAACGAATGCCTTGCAGTGTGGGAAGCATGGCATTGGATACGGACTGCTGCATGAGCAACCATAGAGCAGGTGCAGTTGATGAGCAACAGCGGACGGTCGTCGTGACGCCAGCAGGCAGGCATCCTCGCCCAATCGACGCAAATCATTCGATGGTTGCCCGTGTGTCACAATGTTGCCATCCCTCGATGCAACTGAGTGCCATCGACGTCGTGAAACGAGGTTGCACCGAACGGAAACCACACGAGTATCACATACACGAGCTTCCGTTTGTTTTTTCTTTTTTTTGCGCAGTTCAGTGTAAATTTGGTATTCTGTCCAGCAGGACACCACAATGCCAGAAAGATGTTATAGCAGCCTAGCTGAAGGCGATGTCTGAAAGGTGTCCTCCCGACAGAGTTACACAGCCTGTTCGCAACAATGTCACCCGACCTATTGCTGCCAAGCTTTCCCCAGATTCTCAACTGTTTCAAACAATTTGTTCCATCCGTTGCTCCTTGTGGCTTCGCCACCCGCTCATTTTCCTAACGGCTCAAACATCAAGAGGTCCCAAATCCCAATGGTTCCATAAAAAGGCAGTTCGCTCTCCTCCTCTCCACCATCCCTTCGCCCACTTCAGTGTGGCCCAACATGCGGACGTGGAGTTGGAACGTATCTTTGATCATCTGTCGTTGGCCTTTCGCTGGTTCCATGGCCTTGGCTGCAGGTTGCAGTAGTGTCGGTGCCTGTTTTCGTGCAGCCCGCAAATTTGCTGTGGGTGCTGTGTCTTCCACGCCAGCCGTCGTTTGCAGAATGTACACATGGCCGAGCGTCCGCCACGGATGCCACCTGGCGCGCCCGGCACGCGTCAGTGCACCGATCGTGTTGCCTGTTCCAAATGCTGGGATGTCCGGCACGCGAGGCGAGCGCATGGCCAAGACAATGTTACCAAAAGCCTGTCAATCCGTGCACTGGGGTGTACAGTGCTGAGGCTACACTTCAATCTGGGGGTGCAATTTTCGATCGGGAAAATTCAACTCCCAGATGGATTTCCAGCGCCAGCACTTCGAGTGCATCGCCGTGCATCTCAACCATAACGGATGGTCGAAATTGCCATCAAAGCCCCGGTTCGACATGCAAAAGTCCCCTTGTGAATTTCGGGCGCAGTGACAAAAGTCCACCCACAGCCGAACAGCCGCGCCCGATGTCTGCACGCCAAGGGCCACACGTCGATACAACAATTGCAAAACGTAGGTACGGGGATGTGTGTGAAACGCCAGACAATGGCCACCCGCTCCCTATCTCGCCAGATAAAAAGCACTGTCCACTATGTGCTCAATGAGACCAGGGTGGGGCGGGTTCTGGTAGTTGGCACCGAGTACGTGAAAATGAGGCCGGAGGGGCCAGATGCTCGTGCTGAAAAAGCCACTGGCGGGTAAAGGGGTAAAGGGGGGCGCACAGTGGGACTGGCAGCGACGCCGGAGGAATAGCTGCAGGGATGCAGCTGTGGCTGCAAGTGGAATGGACGCTAAGTTGATTGATTCCCTGCGGTCGCCTGTGCGGTGGCTGCACACACATGAGCCGCTTCTGGAAGGCTGGATGTGGTACATGTATCCGGCGCCAATGTTTACCCCATCTGTTGTTTCGCTGCGGCAGTGTTCGTGCTTGATAGTGAACCATAAATCAGTGTGGATCTTTGGTCTGTGGACTTTGGCCAAGCATTGGATGCTTCTGCAACCGCGATCAACCGGAAGGTGCGAGGGATTGTTTGCTATGTTGCTTGCAGCAGCTGCAGTCCGTGGACTCGTTGGATGGAGACAGTGTTGGAGACCTGAATGCCAGAGCGGGCATTCTACATTCAGATGGACTTGCGCTTTGTCGATGCGTAAGTATGACACATGCTGCAATTCTGCGAATTCTGGCAGATTGCCCGCTGGCGGCCTCATTCCGCTTTTAGAAGAAGTCTTCACAGGGTTTGACTCGCAACGTACGAGGACTCAAGGAGACAAGCGTCTTGTTCCTCAAGGGCGGATCGATCTCCTTCACTTCATGCTATTTGAAAGATAATGGCAACATGGCTCGATCGGCACGCTCCTGACTGCCGATCGCTGATCATCTCCCCAATACAACATGTTCACCTTGCTGTCATCATGCCAACCGTTGACACCAAACGCCATTGGATGCGTACATCCCCTTCATCGTCTACAAGGTGCAAGAGCACTGATCCGACATGTCGAAGGCAGCTTAAGAAGATTACAGCCATGACGTCAATCACCCTCCCAGTTCAATGTTTCGCTCACGGATAAATTCAGAGCTCTACAAACGAACAAAAAGGAAACTATGCAGGTCACGGTGCTGTGCCATAATCGGTTGTGTGTATCACATCAGAAGTGTGAACGAAATCGACGATTGTGGATTGTGTCATCTTAAGATGGCCCCACTCGCTGCTGTGTCTCCCGCTGGCCGCCTTCAGAACAGTTTCCCCCTGTCGGCCACTCTGTATGCAGTCCACCTCCACCAGTCCTTCCTCTTGTCCAATGGCAGCCAATCTGCGCCGATGGTGGATAGGTCAAAGTCATCTGGAAGCACCGCCCCCAACATGGACACATAATCGATGCGCCCACTGCCTGCGCGGATGAACACAAGAACAGAACAACGGCGTGATTGGATGTCATCGACATTAAGCACCGCGCTAATACCTGCGCACAATTGGTGAGCCAGAACCCATTGTGAATTATTTAATTTGGAGTCTGAATGTTTTCAATGGTTATGGGCTGTGCGCGGCAATAACCGTGGCTTCAAATGTCAAATTACGGCTGAATATTTACTCGATCAGGCTTCGGTTCACAGGGCATGTCCCTGAAACAGGACCGGCGTACGAACAAGCTGGAGCCAATGAAATAAACGGTGCAAACAATTCATTTGCTATAATTCTTGACAAAAGCTCTGCCTCTTCTTTGCAATTCATTGAAACAGTTTTTCTCGACAGGTAACAGGGCTATTACGGCTGGATATTTGGTTATTGATGCCTGCAAATAGACTGGGGCATATCTCCCCATCAGTGTGCCGTCTCCGCAAGCAAAGACAACATCGTGAACAGAGTGCGCTCAGCGCTCAATAAACGCAAAGGGAGGCGCGGGGCGCAGAGGCTAGAAGATTGCGTAATTGCTCTAAAATTGAAATAATCCAGGGAGAGTGCAGAATGCCATTTTAAGAATGACCTTCATCGTGTTTGAGGAAGCCCCTGCTCACATCCTCCTCGATTGATCACGTGTCAGGCATGGCAATTTTGATGCGCTGCTGTTACCGGGCGCAACTCCAATGGACAGGGTGGCCAGCAGTGTGTAGGGTCCGCTGGCCCAGCAGAGAACAGAATTCGCTGATCGTCGGCGACAAATGGTAAATGATCATGAGCAACAGCCTGTGACGATCGCCGCCTTGTTCATGCCAGCTCAGCAGGTCACATATTGATGATCGGCAGATGGAAGAACGGAGAGTGTGTAAGAGGAGAGAAGAACGGCGGTGCATGGTGCTGTGGGCTGACATGGACTGCTGTTGCGTTAGGCTTGTGTGAGCTAAATGCGATTGCGATCATGCGCAGGTGGCAGCGGCAGTGGCCTTTGCTCTCCTGCCAGTGGAAGCTGAGCCGAAAGTTAAATTTCCAACGTTGAATTCCTTGAGCAGACATGGTTGTGGGTGCTGTGGAGCGCGCGAGCGGTATAGCGGCAGGAGATCTTGTTGCATTGGGGGCAGGCAGGGCGCTCGGTGGCGCCATGCTGCGGTGAACGCGCAAGGACCGGGGCCAATTGTCGAGTTGGGTGAACTGGACGGATTTGTACTGCGACAGCCCAGCCAAGCGACGCCATAACCTTCAGAGTACTGTGGACCAATGCGTTGTATTTGCTTTGAACACTGCAAAAATATCAAAATAAGGACTGATGTCAAGAGGGTGGACGTGGGCGAGGGTGAGCTTGCGTCCGTTGGGCGCTGTACCAAATATGTGTCATCCCTCAAATATGCAAGGCACTTTGGTGCTGATGATATTCGGGGTGAAAGAGCCGCTGGAATCCGAAGTTTGGTGCACTGCACAACGGTATGACAAGTTGCACTGGAACGTCAGCGCTGCTTGGAATCGCGTTGGCGTCGACCACTTCCCGTTCTTTCCTCACCATCTCTGTCGTACTTGCGCGCCAAGTCCCTGAATTCTTCGTCTTCTATGATGACGTTGAAGCTTTTGAGGAAGTCTTCTAGATGCTCCGTGCCCATTACTCCTGTCCGATGCCTGTCCATACGCTTCAGCATCGTTCTAACCTTTCAAGCGCAAACAGTGCGCTAAAAATTTCTTCGCTTAAATTTCCTGATTATTGCATAATGAATGTGCAACTGGAGTTGGTGACTGAGGATAATCAACGTTGGCGAGGTTGGGACGCCGCTGCTCACTGGATTTGAGTTCCAGACATTGGCAAAAGTCGAATGTTTGATTCCTTGCATGCACAGTGCGTTTTTGTTGCGGCATCTCAATAAATTCTGGTCCCAATAATGTGAAATATTTTGTGCCGAATATGCCACACGTATGTAATGTATTGAGGGGCTTCAACACAACTGCTTTGTAAGATTTCTGCGTGTCTGGGGCATTACATCATTCCAAGAGGGAGGTGTCAGGCGTTTTCTTGGAATAAATACAGGTCACTCGACGAGTTGCACGTTGTGTCGCGTTCAGAAGGCGAAGAGAGGACGTCATTAACAAAACTCCAATGCCATTTTTGCCTGTACCCTCAACGTAGCCTTGGTATCCAATCCGCGAAAGCGGCACCCTGTTTTCAAAGCACATTGAAGAGAACTGGTTTCTTCGTTTGAGCCATCGAAACTCCCTGCTTGTGCTGAAACGTTGCTGAGAAAGGCCGGCACCGCCACTAGGGCCGGCTCTCAGAAAGTTGGGATTGGGTGGCTGTGGTTGTCAGTGGGAGGGTGGGTGGGTTTGAGTGCTGCCCTTAGCTTGCATTGGGCGTTTGTGTTGCATAGTCGACCTTGCGGCATCCACAAAATTCTTACTAAATGGACATCCATGAACGCGTATCCGCTGATCATCCCAGGATTTAGGCTTACCATGTGAGGCCCGTGATGAGATTTTTGAATGATCTTGTCCCTTAGAAGTGTCTCCAGATATCCCTAATTAGGAAACACATCGAAATGCGCTTTAATACAGTTCATGTGTTTCTATGGAACGGCGTGGAATATTTTGTCCCATTTGAATGAAGAACTTCGCAAATTCTATCTACAATGTTGAAATTTCCAAGAAATTTGGATACCGTACTCCTGACGCAAGGAAATGTATGGCTTGCAATTTTAAAAAGTGCAGTACTAACAAATAGTTGCCAACGATGGAAATTGGAAACATGTGGATGCAGATTGAACGAACTAGAAGTCGACGACCATTCACACCTGATCCGCGGATGGTTTGGTACTGCTCAAGGAGCCTGTGGAATCTCTATGTCTTCCAGCTGAGTCATTCCCTTGAGAGTATTCCGCAAGGTACTCGGAGCACCACACGCGCTCGACTCCCTGGGCAGACCGCAACCAAGCGGGCAAAGAATTGATAAAAAGTTCAACTAATGGTGCACTGCCACATTTTTCTGCCTGACACACACTGCATCCGGCACCAAATCATCGTTGCGAGCAAAGTTTTCTGCAGCTGTTGTACAATGCTGATTGCAGAAGACCGTGTACCACCATGCTATTTGCACCTAACTCAAACAACAGTTTAAGTTGAAAAATGTTTGTGATAGGTACGTAAACCGTGTTGAACCAGAGCCATAAAATATTGTCATGGCCATATTTAAGGTGCAGGCTTCGCCGGTGCTGTCGCTGCGTTCTCCTGTGGTGCAGCCCGAAACGGTGCGCTTCCATTCTTGTGCGCAGCGACAAACATGACATAACATCGACCACCGATCTGAATCAAAATAATTCGCATCAGTTCATTGCCCATCTCATCATCACTCTCACCATCACCATCACCATCATCATCATCATTATTATTTCTCAACACAAGGCAATGATATAGCCGTCAGTTCTCTCTCGTTGCTCGTCAGTCATTCTGCATGCATTCAGGTAGCGCACATGGCGAGTCCAGTGTGTCATTACGCGCAAACTATAAGGGGCAAAAGTGCCCCCGCTGTTTGAACATCGTTGCCGGCGGCTGGTGCTCTGTTCAGTCTCACGGTAACGAAGCGCGACCGCTTGCGCAAGGTGGATCGGAACGGCGGAGGCCACCAGGGAGTGTTTGGTGCTCCGTCGGCCACGTTGCGGAGGAACTGCTTGCACTCCCTGACTATCAGCACCTTTTTCCTCTCGTCTCCGAGCTTCACAGACGACTTGTGGACCATCGCATTGATTCAGTCGCTGCCAGGTGCTACGACCACCCGCGCTGCGACAGCTATAGGGAGGCTCGACACGAAAGTGCCATAGCAGTCGCTGCGCTCGAGCAGACGCTTGATTTTGTTCAGCTGCTATAGCAGCTAGCTCGCAGCTGAACCTCTGCCTGTCGCCGGGATGTGGTGTGCTGGCTCACTGCGATCAACCTTCCTACCAACTGCGAGCGCACAAGCGATGCTCCTAGCGAATGTTTCAGCTCCATGGTCGTTTTCCATGTTCATGAAGAAACAACTAACTGTGGACAAAAGATGCTTCACTGGGGAAGAGAAGTCGATTTGGCGGGTCCCGCTGGTTTTCCCACCTTCTCCACTCCTCGCCAGCGTTGACGGAGTTGGAACAAGCCGCAGTAGACCAAAGGAAGGGCAAAAGGAGGGACTGGGATAAGGGCGAGAAATGACGGGGTGCATGGCTCCGAGCTGGCATACCATCGCCGGTGCTGCTGTTGCCCAACTCGCTGTAATGCTTGATCACACTCAAAGTCGTCTTGGAGATCACAGGATGAGGGCAGCGAGCAGCGGCACCCCGGGGTGCACTTTTATGAAGAGGGCCCTTGTATCATGGGAAGCGGGTTGCCCAGCCGGCGAATATGAAGGCGGAAGGCGGCATGCACCAATCTGGCACCAAATGGGAATACGTAACGGCGCGTTGCACCCGGGTGCAGGCCTCTAGGGCATGCTTGCAAGCGCACAATGCAAAATGTTGTGCCAAGCCAACTGATGGGCTCCTTCTAGACTACAAAGCTGTCTGTTCCATCGATCATGCGTCCAATGTATCTATACCTTTCCCCTGGGTTACCTTCGAGAATTGTGTGCAAAACCTGGCGAGGGTCGCGTTCATTCTCCGCGCTCCACTGGCCGGGCGCTAAACTCTCGCTCAAGGAACGTTCGACCTGGCAGCAATCATGGAACTTTGCAGAGAAGGGTGGCCGCTTGACAGCAGGGAATGGCAGCTCGCGCATGCCTGAAGAGAGCAAACCTGGCGTCGCCTTAGAAACGCAAGTGCATCACAATTTGCCCTGGCATCCCAGGCGGTCAAGGTTCATTGACAGCAGGGAATGGCGGTTCGCGCATGCCCGAAGAGAGCAAACCTGGCGTCGCCTTAGAAATGCAACTGCATCACAATTTGCCCTGGCATCCCAGGCGGTCGAGGTTCATTGTTCGTTGATCTTCATCCAACCTGGCAGATGCGCTTAGATGCGGATATGGAACGGATCGCCAAGGCGGCGGAGGATGGCATGGCGTTGCCTCCAGCCTGCCTTATAAGCTACCTGTACACCAGCCCTCGTCGGCCAATAACTGCTGTGCAAACGGGTGTGCCACATCATCGAAGGAAACCCCCCCATCAGGAAGGAATTTTGGGAAAGTGGTAGCGATGCCTTCCTGGCCTATGCCATGCACAATATTGTGTGACAAACAATTAATGTTCTCTCCTTCTCCTCCTTTCCTTTGTTTCCCATCAGGGAAGACAACATATTGACTTGCGTACGCTTGCTGCTTAAGAGAGAGTGCGCTCAGTTTGGATTGGCAAAGGGGTACTGGCCACTGCCACTGACAGCCGCGAATGATCGCAAATGCCTATTGCACGTGCAGTGGCTTTCCACAGCAATCCATGCAAGATCAAACCCCTATCCACTACCGCTTCACTGTTGTGCACACTCCCTGTCATTCCATCTGCCGATTGTCAAAATTAGGACCCGCTGGGCTGGCAAGCACAAGGCTCCATTTACCAAAGGCCGTTGTTGATCGCCACTTTGCATCTGTCACTTATCGCTGACGTGCCCCACAGCACCGCAAGCAGACTGTAGGCCCTGATCACCACTCTGTTCCATGTGCTTGCGCCCAGCGACAGCAACATGCCATAACCACCATATTGACATGTGCGTATTGGCGGACATTGAAGAGGTTGTGAGCATGGGCCTTTTCGCATATTATGAAAGCCATTCTGGCCTCTTCCTGCCTTATTTTGATTTAGTTCAATCAAAATCACTTTGCGCCCATGCCCTGGATCCCAACACCCTTTAGCATCCATAAAGTGCAAAGCAAGCAAATTTCAAACAGCATCTTCCCTCAGATGATGTATTACCCATTTTGGGCAGGATATCCCAGGTAGTGGCCCTGTAGAGGTTTTCAGCATGGGACAATGACATGGGGCATTCGTGCTCGACCTTCTTGGTGTCTGAATAACAGCAGCAGCAGAGGCACACATGCCACCTAGGGCTTGCCACCACTGGCACAACTTTCATTCACACATCTTCGCAATGTCTCAACATGACAGCAGCTCCACATGGGGGCCTCAAGGCCACTCCCGCCGACGGGTGCCACCAGTGCCTGTATTCAATGATCCAAACAATAGACAAACTGCCACCCAGTCAGCCCATTCTCCTGTGTGCCGCTACCACCAACAGTGCCAGTGTCGAAGGCTACCCTTCAGCACCTCAATCAAGACTGTTCCGCCCGTTTCAGGTCCATGGCCTTCACCCTTTTCTTGTATTCCTTGTATTGGCACTTCTCATATTCGTGCCTTTCATGTCCACAGGTCCATGGCATGTAGAAATTCTCCCTCCGGCATTTGTTCAGTGGTATGAGCATGTGAGCACAGAAGTCCCGCCATGCTATGTCCAACCCGTGCTTTGCCATTTCCTCCTGTGGCAAAACTACAATCGTCATCTTGGGCAAATATGCAAAACACACTGTCCATTGGAACTTTTTCATGGGGAATGAACAACACTTGTTGGCCGCTGCTGCACAGGTCATCGCCTGCAAGGCGCAAGGACTGGGATTCTTCATGTGTTGTTGGCAAATTCAATGCTTGGAACTGGGAAAGGCCGGGAGACTGGAAAGGCTGGGAGACCTTAGATAATGCGGGTTAGAGCTTTGGGTTAGAGCTGCACTCATACAAGCAACAGGAAGCCACGGCCAGTATGCCTGAACCAATGGTATATGTAACTAAGCTATGCCTGGCCACTAAACGTTCTAGCTTAATGCCTTGAGGCCTCTCTTTCGTTTTGTCAACAAGCGAGTTGAGCTCCCAGGACAGGCCCCATGTATTCCCATGTTTTCCTGCCGTTTGTGCTGTTCCCTGCTGCCTGCCTTTTGCTTGTACCTGCAGATTTGACCTGGTTGGCAACAGCCTGCGAATCTTGCACAGGAAGGTGATTCCCATGGCAGGGCATGCTTTCCCCTTGTTGGCAAAACCCTCGATTCAGACAGCCAGAACACCTGGCAGCCATTTCCTTCCTCGCTCGCTTGCTAGCGTGAAGCAAGCTACGGTTGGCCCATGGGAGCGTTCAGGGAACCGTCGGAGTGCGGTGCCAGGACAACATGTGCTTCAGCACACTCTGTCCTTGATGAGAACGCCATCCTGTTACCATGCGCAATCCAACCGGGTGCCGCGCGGAGTATGGCACAAGGGGCTGCAGGGGGGCAAACATGCGGGGGTAATCACGTGCCCCAGTCGTAGCCAGATATAGCGAGAGGAAATTGCTCCGTCAAATTCAATCACAATACCGCCACAAGGCGCTCAGTGACAGCGACGCGTTTCTAAAGAGGAACGGCAAGTGGCGCAGGGTTGTCGAGCGTGCTGGCCACCCTGCTTTGGCGATCTCTTCAACTGGCCCCCGTCACGTCCACGTTCACCCACAAACCAATAAGCGAACGAGCCCGGTGCACAGAAGCTGCAGGAAATGTGGCAATCTTCCCTCACACTACAGAAGCCAGATGGACCCTGACCACCTCCTTTACTGATCTGGAACTGCACATCAAAATGGGCCTTGGCAGGCGAGTTCGTCAGCTGGCTACAGTTCTGTACGTGACACACCAAGCACCGACCAACGCTGGCAGAGCGACAGAATGCAAGCTCTCCTGAGCAAGCCCGTGCGGTGAAAGTAGCTTCGGCGAGCCGTTGCTGGAACGACTGGAATCTAAAAGGCAACTATTTCTCGGAGCCATTCCCCATGCGCAAACGCAAGGCGAGCACAACATCCCTTGACAGTCCCTTCCCAGGGGGACTTCGCGGGCAGCGAACCGGGAGGAAGGTGGCGCACCCGAGTGGCCTTCATGGGGGGCGGACTGTACTCCGACATGGTCGCTGCCTGGCGTCCTGAGCACCGACCACGCGAGGCTGGGCAAGGATGGCCCTGGCAGAGGCGAATTTAGACGTCAGTGCGGCTTTGACGCCATTTAAATGGGCGCCTCCGATGCAATGACGGTAGAAGAAGCCCCGCCCGGCCCCGCAACAGCATATGGTTAGGCGACTGCCTGGGATAGCGTGAAACTGGTCGTTCTACCTTCCGTGAAGATCCATCCTTGCTTCGACACCCTGAACCCTAAACCGCTGGCCCGCTGGCCCACGTTGTCCTTGTCAGCGGAAGAAGAAGGGATCCTCACGGAAAAGACCGAGGGAATAATGTATTGTCGCCTGGGATTACCAGCGAAAGTACTAGCAGTGTGCAATTGTCCCCCGCACCACTGCGCACAGCCCCCAGACCCGTGGTCGAGCTCAGGGCGCTACCGCAAGAGGAGAAAACGAGAAGAGGCGTGGAGTGGGGGGATGGGTGAGTGGGTGGGCAGGGAATGGCTTGGTTGGCGGGCGAAACTCCCGGTTCGAATCGGGCACCCTGTTGCGTGTTTTTCAGGACAACGAAACTTGCCTTGTGTGCCCCTGTTTGTGTGGCATTGTGTGGAATTTGGGGGTGCTTGGCACGGCCTGTGTCAGGAAGAAAATCTGACCACAAGCCGCAGTGCCGCCGAATGGGGACTACGCACCGTGCGGGTGTGAGGTTGTGGTGCACTTGAAAGGCATTGCGCTGTGAAATAATTTGTACAACATCACATTCTTGCTTTTCGTACTGCCCGGCAATGTTGCTATTCATGGCATTCTGTGCTGCGCATTTTTCCATTTGCACTGGAGAGACGTTTGCATCTTTCTCTATTGCATGGAACGAAGCACACCAACAAAAGTATGGTGAGGTGCAGATTAAACGCCAAGTCTTTGCTGCTGAAGAGACAGACGTGTCGAGCCAGCACACTGCATGTCTTCCTGGCGGTCTCCTGCAGTTGCCAAGAGAAGGAAGTCCAGCGGAAGTTGCACGAATTCATTCCACATAACTGAGCATCAGCTCGAATGCACTTGGAGTTATTTTCGCAGCCTTCTGCACAGCCAACTCTCCATGCAGAACTGCAGTGAAGGGCCAAAACTGCTTTGGTTACATAACACAACATGGCACGTATCACTGGACACTAGATTTTGACACTCACTGGGACAAACGGTGTAGTTTTTCTGTGTTGTCCCAGGGCTCCCCCTACAGCTCCCATACTGTGTGAGGAAAAGGGGGGCTTTAGCCCTGCATGCATGTAATTTGCCATTTGACAACATGACAAGTCAATGGCCAGCAATCTCAGCGGCAGATCAAAGTGTTTTGGAAGGCGGGCAAACAAAAGTTGGCTGTGGTGTATCTGGAAATATAGGTAACTGGGTTTTACCAACGCCGGGGGGCCAGGCAACTGGATTCCCCACTGTCTCAAGGTTTGCAGTAGGGTGTCTTCCATGGTCAATGTTGGATGGGTTGAAGGTTGTTTTCAACAACGGGGGGGGGGAAGAGAAGGTTACAGACAGCACAGGTTGCAGGAAGGAAGCCAGTGATGATACTCACCTTTGATTAGAGATGGCAGTGGTGACATGAAGTAACAGTGGGCGCAGTGAACAGTGTTCCAAACACTGCATGGGCTTGTGGAATGAGGCGCTTGTTCTTCTCCTTGCTTCAACGACACACATGATGGGTGCCCATCGTCGCAAGCTTCGTGAAAGGCCTTGCCCTGTCAAGTACTAACGAGTATGTAGTCAAATGGAATTGGGCACAGGATTGGAACGCACCACTGACAGTTGATGCAGACCAAACACTTCCTCATCTGCATGGATTGTGCCAGTGCGACCCATGATTGCAGTCGTGCTGCCAAGTATTTTCCACGCCTTTTTTGCCCCACTCAGTGTTTGCCAGGCAACTGGACAGTACAATGCAACCCTGCAAAGAGTTTGCAGATAGGTGCATCTCGCAGAGGGGGTTCTGCCAATGACGCAGGCCAACTAATGGCCAGAGAAATGGAGCCCTCATAAGACAACATTAAACCCCCTCAAAGACATTGCTATTTGCTTAAAATATTCTGCAAGGTCTTCCCACCACCTGTTCACACATGTTCTACATACTAGTTTAATTGCGTGACATACACTCAGTATTTTCATATCTACTGTCTGGATGCGGCTTCATTCGCTTTTTGCAGGCGAATGCTAACCAGCACTGTTTGATCCCAACGCCTTGCAGCAGGCATCCCAGCAAGCATTTGCCTCTGAATCTGCAGCCAGAACGAGGTCCACCTACGCTCTCAACCCACAACCATTGCAGTCAAGCAAGACACACCAACTCATTCGACCCACTCAAGCCGCAACATTACTGTCTACACACCAACTCCTCTGCAGGGAAACGCCGCACTCCCCGGCGCCCCCTGCGCCCTGAGCACCGCAATTGAGAGCAGGACACCAAGGCCCCCATTCGCACCACCCCAAGCCTTTCACCATCCGATTATACCGGGTGGCGCGCCCCAGGCCAAGGTCACCTGTCAATCCCTCCCGTCACGCGCTGTGCTGGTCCCCGCTCAGCCTCTTGTCGTCCAGGGCCTCGGCCAGTGCCCGCCTAGACACCCGCGCGGCCAGCCATCCCAGGAGGCCCAGCGCCACCACGGACACGGCCATCGACACCGCCAGCGTGGTGGGGCTCACCCGCACGCCGCTGTGCGCCGCCTCCGCCACGTTGTGCGCCAGGGACCCCACGTACACGAAGCCCACCGTCCATGGCACCACCGCCACCAGGGACGTGACCACGTACACGTGGTAAGAGATGGCCGTCACGGCCAGCACGTAGTTGAGGACGCTGTCCGGCAGCAGGGGCGACAGCCTGAGCAGAAGCACGAACTTCCAGCCCTCCCGCGCCACCACGGAGTCGATCAGCGGGAAGCGCGTGATCCTCCTGCTTGCGAACTCCACTACCCAGTCCCTCAGCAAGAATCTGCCAATCACGTAGGCCACCGACTGGCCGATTGCCACAGAAGCCAGAACGATACCGAATCCCGCCACCTTGCCGTAGAGCGCCCCGCCGAAGACGGCAATCACAGGGCCGGGCACGAGCAGCACGACCGCCGCGACTCCAATCCCCATGAAGATGCCGATCGCGGACGGCGACCGGTGGGTCTCCAGCCACCTGGCCAGAGCCTCGATCTTCTCCGCGTCCAGGAACAGGAAGGTGCAGAGGATGAGCGCGCCCAGGACGAGGCCCAGGCCCAGGCGCGGCCACAGGATCCCATTGCGGTCGGGCGCGGGCTGGTGCCTGGCAAAGGGGCCCTTGGCGAAGGACTCGGGGCTCGTGCCCACGGATTCCCACCTGCCCGAGATGGTCCTCACCAGCAGCGAGTGCTCGGGCATCAGCCCGGGAGTGGGCGTGATCCACTGGCCGGCGCCCACCGCCTCTTGGAATTCGACGGCCACCGAGTCGGGGATGCCCCAAGTTTGATGGGCGCCCAGAATTGGGATCCCCGTGGCGGCGCCGCGCGCCGCGGGGGCAGCCGCGGGGGCGCCCGTCGCTGCGGCGCTGGGGGTTGCGCTGCGCGGCGCCCCGGGAGGGGCGGAGGTGCAGAGCCGGGCGAGCGGCGGGCTCGATGGGTCCGTTCGGGGTGAATGCTCAATCGGTACAGGGCAACTGGGTGGTGAGCCTCCCAGTGCGACGTGTCTGCACACGCACAAGACAGCTGTACTACCTGTTGGCTGACAATTTTTCTGCCTTGACCGGTTGGCTTTTTTCTGCGACCGGACGGTTGAAGCACATGCGCTTTTCGTCCATTCCACTGCTGTTTACCGGTAATTCCCGATGGCAATACCTAAAGGTTTTCCGTGCACGGGGCTTGTCATGAATCGCGGTGCGCGCCGACACGCCACCAGGCCATTTTAGGTCGATGGGGCTTTGCCACCCATGAGACAATTGTACGAATGGTTGAACGCAGGAAAAGATCCTTCGAGACGTCATAAATGTATATGCACAACTGGTGCACTCACACAAAACACGCAGGCAAGCCAGTCTTCCCATTTGCGTCTTTATTTCAGGACAGAGATTGGACGTGGGAGTAGTGAGCGGGAGCGAAAGATGATGAGCCAACAGCACCTTTCCACAATCCCACAGCCCACAGTTGTCTGGCAACGATCACTGTTACAGACGACAAGCGAAAACGCAACAGCGTACGCAACAGCCGCTCATGCTGTCTCTTCCTTGGTTTCAGGTGGCCAGTGCTGACCCCATTTAGAGGGTGATATTCAGAAAATGGATGTGCTGGAGATTTAGGAGCATGGGAAGGAGATTCAATGCTGTGTACAGTCAAAACTCCTGGCACTATTGCTTAGATCAATCTGACAATAACAGCGCGCATCGAGCAATAAAAGTACCCATCGAGTACCAGCTGCTGCCATTTCCCTTCACGCTATGTCCTTTTTGCAGCATGTGAGCATCGTTCGTTCAGTGCACACTACTGGCCTTGCTGATTTGTGTTCAACTGCGCACAGGACAGCACAGACACGATTTCGAAGCTCTGTTTCTGCACCCAAGTGTGAGTTGATCGCCTGCCACATATTGGCAATACAATGGGTTCCTGATGCTTCACACATCAGCGAGCTTTGTGAAAACTGTTACAGCTTCCTATTTGCACTGTTGCTTCCAAATCATGTCCTATCTACTTTGCCTTCACGCCCCCAAGCACACAACTCCTATTCTCCTCGATCAGCACTAGCACCCCTCCACCAGCGTGCCTGTTGGCACCAAGCACTGCCCTCGTATTCCTCACAGCCTTGCATTCAATTTGCCCAACAGCACATTCCCCGACAAGCGTTACTCCTGTGCAGTAGCCCTCTGCAACTCATATCAGTAGCGTCCTCTCCTGCCTCGACCTCGGCCCCGACCCCTGCCCCTGCCAGGCATCGGCCCTGCGTCGGGCTGTTCGCTCTTGGGATTCTTAATGGTCTCGTCAATCGACAGGATCAAACATGCCGCCTCCGTTGCCGCCCCCAGCGCGTTGATTTTCACAAGCGCCGGTTCCCATACAAAGCTCGCAAACGTATCCACCACCCCTCCTGTGTTCACGTCCACCCCAAAGTTCGCGCCCTTCTCGGGGGGCAGCGCGTGCTTCTGGCGCAACTTGTTCAGCACATCCGTCGAGTCGAAGCCAGCATTGTCGCACAGCTGCCGGGGTATGATCTCCAGCGCCTTGGCATAGGCGTTGATGAAGAGCTGAGACTTCCCGGGGATCGACCTCGCGTAGTCCCGCAGCTCCCTGGAGATCTGCATGTCGTTCGCCCCGCCGCCCGGCAGGATCGACGAGTTCTTCATAGCCCGCCTGACGATCATGATGGCGTCGTGCAGCGACCTCTCCGCCTCGTCAATGAACTTCTCCGAGCCGCCCCGCAGCACCACCGTGGCCGTCTTGGCCTGCGTGCAGCCCGTGAAGAGGTTGAACCTCTCCGCGCCGACCTGGCGCTCCTCAAACCTCGCGCATGTGCCCAGCACTTTGGGGTCCAGATCGTTCACCGTGGTCTGTACCTGGCCGCCCGTGGCCTTGGCCACGCGTTCCAGGTCCTCCTGCGCCACCCGCCCCGCGCAGAACACGTCCCTGTCGGCGAAGAACTGAGTGCCCAGGTCGCCAATCGCCAGCCTGGACAGCACAATCTGCGCGCCAGAGTCCACGCAGGCCTGCAGCTTCTTGTAGATTATGTTCCACTCGGCGTCCACGATGGACTGGTACTTGGCGGGGTCGTCCAGCCGCACCTCGGCGTTCTCCTTCTCAGACTTCAGCTCCAGCTCGATGTTCAGCAGCAGGATCTTGGGGTTGTCGAAGGACTTGGGCTGCTGCTCGAACCCCGCGTAGGAGAACGTCTTCTTGAACGCCACGCCGTCCACCAAGAAGCTGTCCCTCAGCCCGCCGCCCGTCACCTTCTTCATGCCGACCATCCTCAGGTCCAGCGTCCGGGGGTCCAGCTTGGACACCGCGTCCACCACCACGTCCGCGAAGAACTCCTTCTCCCCGGACACCAGCTTGGAGTTCATGCTCGTCATGGCGCACTTCCTCAACAGCTGGCGCACCTCCGCCTCGTCGGAGCCCTCCACGGTCACGGCAAGCTCCTTGGCCTTGGAGATCGCTAGGCCGCTGGCCTCGCGGAAGCTTCGAATTATGTTGCGGGGGTGCACGCCGTCCTCGATGAACGGCTTGGCGGCCCGCAGGAACTCGCCCGCCAGGATGACCACCGTGGTCGTGCCGTCACCCACCTGCGCGTCCTGCGACAGGGATATGTCCACCAGCGTCTTGGCCGCCGGGTGCACCACGTCCAGCAGCTTCATGATGGTGGCGCCGTCGTTCGAGATCGTCGCGCCCTTGTCGCTGTTGATGAGCTTGTCCATGCCGCGCGGGCCCAGGGTGGTGCGCACGGTGTCCACCACCGCCATGCAGGCGTTTATGTTGCTGATCAGCTGAGCCCGCCCCTGGCTGGTGTCCGTGCCCTCCTTGAGGAGGATGATCGGCGGGTGCATCATGGGCTGCCCGGCCATCCCTGCCACCGGCGCCGCCCCGCTGCGTCCGGGTACACCGTCAAACCTTTCGCCGCCTTTGCTTGGGCGGGGGACTGGCGGTCCTCTCGCAGCCGCTTGCCGTCCGCCGCTGCGCCCAATCCGGCCAGCAACGCGGGGCACCAACCCAACGGCTATTTGGCTGCCCTCGCTCTTGGCACCCCTCCACTGACCGTGAGACTTTTCTTTCCTTTACGGTTTTCCATTGCTCGGAATAAAAATATCATTCTCGGAAGAAAAGAACAGGAGTTCTCTTTGCCCTGTGTTCCCTGTGGTCACAGGCGGAGGGGCTTGTGGGCACGGCAAGGGTCGCGGCCTGGGAGGTGAGTGTTAAAGGCGCGCAGTCCCTGGCCTGTTTCGCGCCGCGCCTTCCTCCCGGCGCCCCTCACCCGCCTGCTGCAGGGCGACCGGTTGACGCCGCTGCACACGGCTCCATCGGTCGCCTCGAGTGTCCCCGGGCCACGTACCATCGCCACGCCGACGGCGCCGGGGCGCGTGTGGCGCGGACGGCTGGCGATTGGGAGACGCCCAGCTGTGCCTCCGCCGCGTTGTGGGTGTGCGGGATCGAGCTGGGCGCCCTCGCGAGGCGTGATGCTGCGCGGGCGTCACTCGAACAGGGTTTGGTGCGGGACGGCGGGACGGCGGGCGGTCTCGTTGCTGCCGGACAGTGTGCCGCGATAGCAGCGAAGAAATAGCAGCGATTATCTGCACGTTGCTGCAGCAATAATGCTGAAATGGTGATTGAAGTGCGCAGAGGTGGCTGAATTGAGCCTCTTGCAGTCACTTCAGGTGGTAACCAAGACCCCAATTCCAACCAATTTGCCGGCAGTATGTTCATGCCGTCCGCACATCGGTTCTCAGCTCTGAACTGTAACTTGAATGCTGTGTCTCTGCGTGGTGTACGAGAGGGTATGTCCATCCATTCTCCCCGTCCACTGTTGCAGCACGCTGGATGCTTGCTCTCACCTGGTGCTTGTTTTGATTGGTAGAGATGGCTCCCTTCGCCACGAATCGCACCCTCCCCATGCGCTGCCGGCCCTGAGGCCACCACCAGACCGATCTCGCGGCCAGGCCGCACATGCCCACAAACCGATGGGACGCACAGTCTTTCCCCTCCAGGGGAAGCCACCAGGCCTCCCCGTCCACGAAGCCTACTCATACCGGCCGCCTGAGAGCCTCCTCTTCAGCACCTACCACCGCCAAACCCCCAGGACGACGGCGTGCAGCGTACCCAAGGTGCTGCTGGCCGGATGCCTTCTGTCCACGGCGCTAATTGCTGCCATCTACTTTGACACCCACCGAGTTGCTGGCACTGTGGACTGGCTGCGCGACAGCGGCGCGCCGGGCGCTGCAATGTTTTTCACAGCGACCTCCCTGGGGATCGTGCTCCTGTTCCCTGGGTCGCTGCTTTCCATGGCGGCGGGAGCCGTGTATGGGACCCTCGCAGGCTCCTTACTGTCCTGGTCGGCTACTCTTGTGGGCCAGACGATGGCCTTCCTACTTGGGCGCTACCTGCTGCTGGACTGTGTGTCTCAGACCCTGGTGCAGCATGTGCCTGCACTTGGGGCAATCAATGCAGCAATCGCTGAAGACGGTTGGAAAATCATAGTCCTCCTAAGGCTGTCGCCTTTTGTGCCCTACAACCTGCTGAACTATGCGCTGGCGACGACAGGAGTTGGGATCGTTCCCTACTCCCTGGCATCCGCCGTGGGCATCATCCCTTGGGTGGGCGTGTTCGCTCACTTTGGCACCATGGCAGGGGAAGTGGCCACTGGTGAGACCTCAGGGAATGAAGGGAGCCTCAACAGCTGGGTGTCATGGATGTGGCTGCTGGGGGGAGTATGCACTCTTGGGGGTGCCGGAATCTACACAAGGAAGGCTGTTAATAACAGGAGTAGAAAGATGGCCAAGGAAAGGCTGGACGGAGCCTGGTAGTATGGTAGTATGCCAATTGAAACGATGTTTGCAGAGACGAAGTTTTGGGGTGTAAGGGGAGAGTCTGCAGAGGCCGGGAGGCCTCCCAACAGGGTGCTCATATTGTGATCTTTATGGCGTATGTGCTGCTCTCACGGGCTGCACAACAGATCGACCGTCGCACTTGCCTGTGCAGGACACCATTCCATTCAATATTCTGTGGCACACAACAATTTGATGTTGCAGCCCAGGGTGCCAATAGATAACATGCACAGCCTGCTGCTGTGGCCCATTTTGGGCAGCCTCTCGGTCGGCAGCACTCACCTCCCCCCAATCCCCCACCCCGCCCTCCCTTGTCACTGGCTAGTTCTGGCTTTGACCCTTTTTCTCCCACACACCCTTGTGCTGCTTTTCAACGGCCACCAGCTTGCAGCCTGTCTTTACCCATCCTGACATACTCCCTTCCACAGCATGCAGGCGCCGCCTCTTGGCCTCCATGGTGGTCCTCAGCACTCTCAACTTCTCCTTCAGCTCCTTCACCTTTTCTAGCTCCTCCTCTTGGGTCCTGACCTCGCCAATCTTGTCTTCCACCCGCCCCACGTTGGATGCCCCAGTCCCTCCCTCAAGCTCTTCGGCCTCCTTCCTTGTCAACCCCACGCTGTATTGCAACCGATCACAGTTTGAGCCAAAGCACTACCGGATCTTTCGAGGCTGTGTGGTGGAAAACGGGGTTCCTGAACATCTGCAACAACTATCGTGCTTGTGAACTGGCTGTAGTCTTCCACAGATTTTGATTGATCAACATACTTAAGTGATGGAGCTCATGCCTTTTAGTTTTTTGTGTCATGTACAAGCACATGTCTTTGAATATTTCTGTCATGTACACCAACGTGGCAGCTACAATGGTATGATAGCTGCAAACTTGATGCTAGAAAACAGAGTTTTATGACTCCCTTTGCCCCTCAGCGCCTTTGGGCAAGATCACCAGGCATATTTAGAGCTTGGGATTTCAGTATATGTCCAGGGCCGAGAAACGCAGATTTAGTTATAGGCATCCACAACATTGCAGCCATAACTATTACTGACAGGAATTCCAACAAGGGATGCCATGTCCAGATCTGTCAGTTGCCAGGCAGACATGCAATAAGGTCGGCTGTGCCGGGGTGTAAGCCAATGCAGAAACAGCACATCACATTTTTGATTGGGATACTGGCGAAAGTACTGCATTGCCAGCGTAGACTGCTAAATGAAGAGAACAAGCTGCCAAGAAAAGCCCCTGAACAATGCACCAATTCTTCCATGGCTGACCTCTCATTGGCCAAGCTGCCTAAATCAAATGCAGAACCTGATGGATTATGCTTGTGACTTCTGCAACAGTCCAGTATCACTGCATTGGGCCGGAAGAATGACTGAAATAATGGCATCCCTGCCAGACACTGCAGGGCTTTCTATCCATCAGCTGAGTTTGAGCAGGTCCCAGAGACAGCTTGTGTTTCTCCACTAGATTTTGAGTTTCTTTCCTGAAGCTCTTGAAGAGACACTGGTCGTTTCAACCTCTGGGGCCCTAGCTGCTCAGCCGTCCATGGGTCGGATAGCGGTTCGCGATCCTTGGGGAGGTTGTTTTGATGCAGGACACGTGGAGCAGCTTGCAAGTTTAGAATTTTTAAAACGAGTCCGATGGCTTGGCAGGTCATGACGACATAAAGGGGTTGGCATTAGTCCAGGGATGCTTGTGGTCCCCAAAGAACTGCACTGAGACATCATCCAGGACTAGCATCAAGGCTGATGTTGGCCCATCTGGAAGAGGAACAAGCCCCTTAACTCTACTCAGGCAGCATCAAATCCTCCCATTTCCCTATCACTTCCCCTGGTTTCATTGAACATGAAACATTCCATTTCGAGCGCAGCTCGTTTGTCTCTGGCCATCCACCGTGGCGAAATTCATTGCGCTTCTTTCTTCTCAACATAACGAAGCGCAATCTCTGCACTGTGTGGCCAATCGCGAACCAGCCCTTCCCCACGGCGTTCATGCAGCCCTTAGAGCGAAGAGCATGGGCCGATGCCCTCATCGAGGCAATTATCCCTTGCAGGGAAGCGGCAGCGTGCTTTCCAGGGCACCGGCCAACGGCGGTCGCCAAGCGCTGGGCTCACGCACGCACCTGTACCGCAACTCGTGCAGCTCGCGCTGCGCGGCCTCGTACGGCAGCGGCGACGGCGGCTCCGGCCTTTCCGGGGCCTCCCTGTTCCGCTTCCGCTCCGCCCTGCGCATCCGCGCGAGCGCGACGGCCCCCGCGGCGATCAGCTCTGGGCTGACTTTCTTGCCGGCTGCCTGGGCGGCCTCGATGTCGCTCACGACTTTCAGGAAGGTCTCCATTCTTGGGAGGTCCTCGCCGGGAGGCAGGTCTGGGATTGCCCCCCAAGGCGTCCCGGGACAGACCTGGCTGGACCTCCGCTCCCAACGGCAACCGTTCGGACGTCCGAACCGAATGCGGAACAGCAAGCGTGATCTTGCACCACCAGGGGAATAAAAGCATGAGAAAGGAAACCAAAAAAAAAATCGAGCCCAACCTCGGCTTGGCAATCCCTCTTTGTTCAACAGGGCACATGCGAAAACACGACAAAGCAAAGGCCCCGGCCTGACCGCCGGCGATGTCAACCGGCCCAGCCGGACGCCAACAGGATCAGCCATTGATTGCAATGCAAATATCGCTGCACCGAAGCGTGCGCAACACGTAACTTCAGACTTTCTCAACGATATGGGAGCGAAGACGAATACAATCGGCGCATTGAAAGCGCCATTTGTTGCCACTTTGCCTGAGGGTCGTTGTCCATTCCAAACAATTCTGTGAGCGGCAAGAGAGGGTACGGCAGGAAAAGATATAGCAAAACTCTGCTCGCATAGCTCACTCGCAAAAATCAAAATAGCTCCTCGGGTTGAGAGTGCAGCAGTGGGTAGACATTACCCAAATGTGTGGTCCAAATGTGGTCCCCGACACCCAACTGCGCGAAACTTGGAGCTTTTCTACGATCAGTGGGGGATAGAATTCGCTTCATCGAGGCCAGCGAGCCCCTTAGCGAATAGCGTGCCCTTCTTTCCCTATGCATGCTGATAATTTTCTTTTGTTTTCTGTGGGGAGCTTTGGGAATCGAAGTCAGCTGTGTCCGCCATTAGAGGCGTGTTTTGCAATATGCGTGGGCCTGGACGTGCCCTTCGTTCACTGGATGGTACGCTACATTGATCGATGCCGTGACGTGATGTCGATGCATCCATGTAAGGAACAAACAAACAAACAAACAAACCCAACTGCCAACGGGCCGCAGCGTCGTTCCGTTCAGTGATTTTTGGCACTATCATTATTGCTGTGAGGACTCCTGACTGACGACGCTGCGCGTGTGCCCTATGCGCTGTTCGGGTGGGCGCACTGTGGAAACGGCTCAGGCCTTGTCAGCCTGGAGACAATTTTATGTGCGACTTCTTGGTCAGGCCAGGGCTCAGGCCAGTGCTTGTTTTCATTTTGGTGGTGGTTGACATTGGTCTTTTCTATTTCTTTTTTCTTTCTTTGGTATGGGGTGGGGGATGGGGTGGGGTGTTTACAAGTTCTTCCCCACGTCGCAAAACTCATCCCTTCCAATGCTGGGCACTTTAAATACGCAGCAAATGATACGTAATACGAGTCCGCAGTCTTTGCCAACTGTGCCTGTCACAGCGTTCGCGACCAGCGCTTTAGACGCAGAGCATGATGAAGTTCGAACGAAAGCGGCTGCAGGTGAGTGCCACAGAAAGTGGGTGACGAGTTTGAGAGATCCCCACGTTGAGAGTAAAGATCTGCACATCAACACCGATGGGGTTGAGAGTACTGTGGATGCCTGCGCATACTGACTTATTGTGCCTGGCTCCATCCATCTGAGAATTTTCTCTTGCACTGACTTTGTCCCGCAATGCGCGTGGTCACCCAACCAGCGAGGCGGGCAGTTTTCACCTGCTTTCAGAGCCCAGATCCCATTACCCAATCACCCTTGACTCGTTGAAAACACAAACACAAAATTCATGACGCACATAACATCCTGCCTCAAGGCATCGTGGATAGCTTGTGGGCACAAGCATAGGGAGGGCAGCTAATCTTGATGCGTACTTCCACTGTAGGCCCTGCTAGCCTGCAATTTTTATGAAGCGGACTCGACTCACTGCCTACTGTGAGGGCGCAGAGACATCAAACGGACATATCGCTGGGAACCGTGCAATGTCAGCAGCACTCCGTTTTTGAAATCGCAACATTCGAATCTCAAGAAATCATTGCTCAGCTTGCACCATGTTTCTGCAGCACTGTTAACAGTGCGTAAGTTTTCTCCTCAAATGAAGGGACGAGTGGCACCGAGTTCAATATCCCTGTGTGACAAGCAGTGTCAACATACTGATCAGCAAGTGGTGGGGCACGCTGTTGGAAAGCCCAAAATCGATGCATACGCCACGCATGCTCCCAAACTGGCTCTGAACCAGTGCCACTATCAATTTCTGACCACACAAGGCGGTACCCTGGGCAATCGATTTCCCTGTATTCCTTACAGCAGAAGCAAGGCACCTGGGCACCTGTCACGCACCGAACCTCCAGGTTGGCATTCATTCATAACTTGACATACCAGGAACATCACATTTGGTAGAGCGCAACTGCAGAGGCAACGCACGTTCCAGGCAGCATGTCGCAGGGATTCCCAAATGTCCTTCTTTCAAAATGGCAGGGACTGCCTCCCCACCAACAACAGGGCGCACCACATTCACAAACCGTGTGTCAGCCCTGCACTGGCACCCGCATCAACTCGTCAGGTTCCAAGTGGGAGCAGTGCCTTGACTCCCGAATCCCATTGGAGAGGCCCTTCCCAAGGTGCCCCCCTCACCCCTTGCTCATTTCCAAACCAAGCACCACTGCACCCTGAATCAAGGGAATCGCCAGCCTCAAACCCACAGTAAAGAATTATCTAACGTACATATTACATTGCAAGCATGGGGGGCCACCATTGGGGCACCAGCCGGTGGTGCCCCAATGGGGGGCAAAATCTGTCTTGATGCGGCCACTCTACAGCACGACCTGACCACAATTTGGTACCTGCAAGCTTGGGCTCCCGGCAACCAAGGGAAAGTCTCTACCCTACGTAGGGCTTGTCTATCTTGGCCCATGTGAAGACCTGCTCATACTGTTGGGCAGCCTTGTCCCAGGAGCTGTCCCGCACCATCCCACGCTTCTGCATAACAGCAACAACGTCAGGTTCCTGTCTTGGTCCAGTTTCTATGGGCTGTTCGACAGGCATGTACTGAACATTGAGAGAGATTTCTGTTCGCATTGATGGGGTTATGGTCCATGTTGAAAGTCAGACAGGGCAACAATCATGGGATATATCTGGACGTTCTGATACATTCTGGGACATTTGGGACATGACCTGACGAACTCTTTCTCTCCTTCCTGTCATTTTCCCCCTGATGGTTAGGACTCCCCCGCATGGATATTGAACGCTGACCGAACACCGATGCCTTCTTCCTATCTTATTGTTTGGGTCCCTACATCGGCTCCTGCTGGACTCTTGCAATGGGCTTTACGATTTACAGGGGAACTCCTTGCTTAGATCAGCATGTAATACATTGGAATTCAGGATAAATATAAATATAGAAATATAGAAATATGAGAAGTATAGAAATATGAGAAATATGTTTATATAGAAATATATGTTTATATTTATATTTATATTATATTATTTCTCTTTGGCCACTACTACAATATATATAGCCTGTTCTCAAGCTGCAGCGAAGCCAGCTGGGGTTTCACAGTGCGATTCACTGGATCATTGGCAACATATCTGGCCAGCAGCGAGGCAACGCTGTGTGACCGGAAAGCCATCAAACTCCATTCAGCTACCCACAACTGAATCACAATGGAGTGCTCAACTGCACGTAACCATGGAGCTGAGCAATGAACAGCCAACATAGCTTTGGAGCATGTTGTTTCATGCGCACTGTGCAATTTTCTCCCGACAATGTGTGTGGTGGTCTATCCGACCAGCACAGCCTGTGAGTACCAATGCCAACTGCCCAAACAATGACCATCATCCCCGCCATAACCTTCAGCCGGCAAGGTAGTCTTCCAGGCAGTATTACACACTGCAACTGATCAAACTCAACCAAACAACAATCTCCCAGATCGCAAAAAACATAAAAAAAAAGCGATGCCAAGCGCATGCAGCAGAATCATGTCAGATGCACACCTCCCCAAGCTATACATCAGATTCGTGCCAGGCAACAATTGGCTGCCACGAGTCCCGCTACAATTCGGTCCCTGAAGATGGCGTCATGAACAAACGGGACAAACAATGATCGGACCTAGAGTGCCCCTTCAGAACATGGGATGATGGCGAATGTGTCCTACTGCCTTCAAGACAAGCAACGCCATCACGAAAAAGGAAACAATCAACACAAGAAACCATCTGATGAATTCAGGATAGCCTTTCTGCTCACCTGAATGCTCTTGAACGAGTCTGGGTGTTCTCTGTAGGTGTGCAGTGCGTTGTCCACCGCCTGGATCAGGCCACCAGCCTCACAGGGGGAGAATGTCCAGCCTGTGCCACCATCTGTCCAAGGATTGAAATTGACGACCGTATCCTTGAGTCCCCCTGTGTAGTGCGCAACGGGAACTGTACCATATCGCATTGCATACAGCTGGTTCAGGCCACAGGGCTCGAAGCGGGAGGGCATGAGGAGGATGTCTGCTGCAGCGGTGAGTCTGTGGCTGAGGGGTACATTGAAGCCCACCCAGCCACGCCCATTGGGGAAGCCCTCCAGCCAGCGGAGGCCATTCTGCAAGATTGAAAAAGATGAAGGTCACCGAAACTGCCACAGAGTAGAAATGCTGCATGGCCCTTTGCTCTTGCGCGTTATATTTGGGGACTTGAGGAGTTGGAAGAAGGGGTTCGTGAACTGTCACATGTCTACATTGGACAACAATCCAAGTGCTGTAAGTCCCTGACACTTGCCTACTGTACACTGGTTTGGCACATTGTCTGCTGGGCCAGCAGATTAACATCAGGGAGGGGTACAAAGTGCGCATGGCATCTTGCAGGGCAACAAGTTGATACTGCACTGCAGAATAGAACAAATGGCATGTGCACCTCCATCCAATCATTGTCTCTGTACTGCCACATCCACCTCGCAGGCGAATAGTGAATGTAACCAAGGGATTCCACTATTGGCTGGTGTGGTGATGAGCATCTGCACAAGGCAAGAGCTGTCTGGTGCTGCAAGGAGCCATACCTCCAGGGCAGGATCCCCCATGCCCAGGCACACCAATTGTACCCCTTGGGACATTATCCACGGCGCCGCCTGAAGCAGCACGTCAGCACCCTTCTGATAATCCAGGCGCCCAATGAACGCGATCATTGGCACGTTGGGGTCCTCAGCCAGGGCCAGCTCTCTCTGCAGTGCCAGCTTGTTTTCATTCTTGCCTTGAGAGAAATTGCTGATGCCATACCTCTTGGCAAGGTGCTGGTCAGTTTCAGGGTTCCACTCACTGACACAGCAGAATACAGGGCAATCAGGTTGTTACAAAAAAGATGCTTACTGCTGCATGCATATTTCTTCGTATCAGATATGCATGACTAGGTGTACACTGCAATGCAGAGAGTGCCAAGTGGCACTATTTGTGCATTCCATGTGAGCCAATGTCAGATTTTAGCTTAGGATCTAGGCTTGGACTATTCTGTTCAACTATCATTCCTGGATAACTTGTTGAAACAGGCTGCAGCCAGTATTCGATCTTGTGTCAAGCCCAACTTGGAATGTACAATTCATTAACTGACTGCACATCAGAACCAACAAGAGAAGGTACAGTGTAGTATGGCAACAAGTTGTTATGCAGCAGCCCACATAGTCAGCTATGCACAAAGGGGAAGTCCACTGCTGCCTCTCCTGGCACACAAACAGTACTTTGCCATGTTCCACAAAAGTCATGTCAAGGCAGTAATTCCCTGAACTGCATATCTCACATTGCGGGTCCAAGTTTCTTCACTTGTGCAGCAAAAAATGCTTCTTGGCACAAAGGGAGGCACCCATGAGCAATGAACTGTTGTCGGCTCAACAGCCATCCCAGAACTCCAAAGCCTTGCTGTACCCAAAAGATTCGACATGCAGTCCACATAAACCTGGATAACCCAACTGCTGCACCCCAATATTTTGGCACTGTTGTCCATTGCCATGGCCACAACAGATAAGCATGCAAGAAAAGGGCACAAAAGGCACATGCTACTGAGCATCTTCTTCCAGCAGAAAAAAAATTGGAGCAATGGAACTCACTGCATGTCAATGCCATTGACGATGCCGTTCAGCACATAGCTGCGGTCAGCTATCAGGAACTCCATTCCCCATCCACCCAGGGGTGTCTGAATTTCATCTGCATAGCCAGGGCTCACTGTGACCACCCTGTCCGCAGTTGTAATGCCAGCCTACACACAGGAAGACACAAAGATGGAATGATTCCTTCACTTTCCATACTTCACTTTTCTTGCTCTGCTTTGCGGTACCCTTCGTAAGACCTGCCATCTATTTTGTTTAAAACCAGTTTTCAAGGGTGCTTGGTGTGTTGATTGCTGCAAACAAGTAAGACATAAGACTGGTATCATCTATGCTGCTGCAGCCCATCCCTCCTCCTTTTCTTCCGGTTCCTTTTGATCCACAATACCATGCTTCAAGAATCTGAGAGCAAACATAATTAGTGGCTGAAAATACAATGGACATGGACATTGTCTAGACAACCATCTGCACATGTGCATTATTCTATTAACATTTTTCAGCCCTGCTGAACAATGACGATTATCTGCCTGCCCTCTGGACAGTAGACAGGAGCCACTGCTGAAAAATTCAGTGGCATTCAGGAACACACAGAAAGCAGACTTAGGATTGGGGTTTGGGACACTAACAAAGGTCCACTTTGTTACATGCACTAAAATGGCGCAACCAAAGACCAGAAGCAACGAGGCTATATTGGGCACCACTGACAAAGGTGAGTGAACAATAAAATATAGAGTGGGGAGTCGGAGAACAGCTTGTAATGCTAAAAGGCATCAGCACAAACATGACATGCCCCACACTAACAAACAGCATACAGTAAACATCGATGTGGGGGCTCAGCATCACTGTGGTGGCTTGCACCTAAGGCCTGACACTAAACCTGGGCGCTCGTCCAACTGACAATTGACAAGATGTGCTACTGTGAGCACTGAAAGAAGAAGGATCATGGTGTCCAAATGTTGTCAGCCATCAGCAAGGGGGCCCGGGCCAAGACGACGATGATTTCTGAGCCATTGCAAGTTGATGCATGAGCTGTAGCTTTGTAGTTCGTTGTTCCGCCAAAAAGAACGATGGATGCAAAGGTCATTTATGACACCATTCTCTCGTTGCAACCCACAGAACATCAGGGTTCCCCGCCACTTCTGATCCAATTCTGGGTGGCTGTCCACAGTCCATACCTTCAAGTGGTTCACACTCCTGCCTTCTTCCTCATAGCTGCCCTGTCTCTGGTGGGGAGGATACTGAAACTCCAAACACTGGTACCAATTGCCAGGAAGTCCCAGCCCACCGAAAGTGTATGGCGGATACACACCCTGCGAGATGGGACACCTAAGAGTCAGCACTGAAAATGCATTATTGCCTATGTGGCCAGGCAGTGCACCCTTATCCACATCTTTCAGGCATCACTGCATCATCTCTGGTGGGGAGGATACTGAAACTCCAAACACTGGTACCAATTGCCAGGAAGTCCCAGCCCACCGAAAGTGTATGGCGGATACACACCCTGCGAGATGGGACACCTAAGAGTCAGCACTGAAAATGCATTATTGCCTATGTGGCCAGGCAGTGCACCCTTATCCACATCTTTCAGGCATCACTGCATCATTTTTTCAATCCTATTGGCACAATGCCCTTCCACATGGCCTGACCAAAGCACTACCTGTACCCTGAACATCATGCTGCTAGCTTATCATCGCAAGCATGATGCAACGTCCTTGCACCTGGAAGCCACACCACCAAACCAGCACTGCAAAAGATGAGTAGTTGGTGAATAGGCCACAGTGGTGACAGAATGCGCTTTGTGTTGTGTGGAAAGCGAATGGCCTGACAGCAGCAGATGCTGCGCGGCTCTGAAAGTCAGCCAACAAGCAAATTAAAATGTTGCAGTGTGCACACACACTCCAATGATTCTTGGCCCCCCGGTGGACTCTGATACTTGGACATGGACATTACCGCGTTGTTTGCACACACTGGTGACATGACATTTCAGCTGTCGATTTCACTGCAGTGACCCCTTTGCCATGTGTGAATACTGTGCATCACAAACTCCAGACAATATCACTGCAACATGCACTCTTCATCATTGGTGGCAAGTTTGCACCAAATATTGCATCGATGGTGACAAAAAAATCCCCACTGGCACAGTTGCAAGTGACAAGGCCAATGCAGGCACCTGGTGTCTCAAGTTGTGGATCGCCAAGATGGTCCTGGCATCCTGGTAGACTCCTCCTGGCCGATACTTAGCTCCCAGGTAGACAGGCACAAGGGACGCATGCCAGTCATTGGCCATAAACACAATGTCCTCCCCATATGTGCTGCCATTAATGGGAAGCTGCAGCGGTGCTTCAAGGGCTGCTAGGCAAAGCAGCATGTACCGAAACTGCAGGGCACAAAGACATGCACCTGTCATCAGCAACCCTCTGAAAGTCAACCTAGAGGACAAGGGTGGCCAGAGAGCACAGCATGTTGCTCATGGGTAGTTGCCAGACGAACAATTCTGCAGCTAATGCAGCATGCTGGAGAAGTTGCCACTCAATCACAACCCATCACAGTTTGTAAGTGGGATTGCCCTGGTTCAGTTCATCCTGCCAAAAAACAGGTTCTCCGCAGCAAGTTCAGTTTCTTTTGCCTTTTGCAGGTTCTGCACAGTGGTCTCAGCTGTGAATGTTATGTCAATTTCAGACCTAAATGGGCCCAGCTGAGGAATACCTGATTGTCACCATAGGTTCCATAGGCATCTGAATAGATGCCTCCTGGCCTCATGTACGATGGGTGATCCACAAACACCCAGTCCACCCCTTTCCATTGGTGTAAGTAATAGCGCACAGTGTTTCCCATCAAGTCAACCTCTATCTGCAATCGCCAACACCAGTGCACCCATTAGCAGCCTGAATGCAGTCCGCACTTGCGCTACACCAACATGAGGTTACATATTCCAGTGTTTGCACTCTCGCCTTTGGGGGTACCCCGGGGGTACTACCCCTTGAACAATTGTCAAGGACCTGATAGGTTTCAGGACAAACATTGTTCACGTTGTAAACAAGTGCGCCGCATTGCCTGCCATGTGCTTGTTGATAAAAAGCTTCCAACTGTGCTGATCTGCAATGAAATAGTTCAACCCTTCAGCACACTTCGACACTTGAAGGCAGTGACACAATTGCCCTGTGTCGTCCGTGAGTTCACCAAGCAGCATTTCCTACAGCAAGATAATGCAATCAAGGAAGTGAAAATGAGATTTAGGAATGCACTTCCAACAGCCTTTATCCTATTTCCTTGAAGTCCTATACCGGATAGGGTTCGCAGAAATTCGTGTCAGCATGTGCATAAGGAATCTCAACCCCTTTCATTGCAAGCCGTTGAGCCATGATTTTGCATACCACAGTTACCAAACAGCCTATTTGGAAGGAGTCGCGAGCCCATGGTTTGACTTCATAAACAACAATGCATAATTGTCAACGACGATTCTTGATGAAGTTCAACAGTTACAAGCAGGAAGAAAATCATTCACCATATTTTGCATCCAAACAATTGGCTGAAGCTAGAACTGCACAAAGCACAAATGTGCTGCAAAATTTTGGACCAGCGAGTGCAGGCAGCGGGATTGCCCAGGATAGCATCAAAACAGTCACTTCCATGCCACTGCAAGTTCCAGGAGAGCACCCCTCGCGCGGCCTTGTCACGTTTCAACAAATGCAATTGTGCGAATTTGGATGCAAATGTGGTGTGCTTCTGCGCAGTTCTGAATAATTTATCCGTTTCAGCTGAGAAAAAGGCACAGTGCGCTTGCAGACTGAAACGGAAGAACGACCACGTCTACCCAGCACATATGCCAGTGAACAGCAATGGATAACTGCACCAGAGGCAGAAACAATTCAACAGCACTGCGTTGCGCAAGCGTTGGTTTCCCTCCCTTCAACAACATTCCTGCTCCCCACAAGGGTGTTGCAATCTGCGTCTCCACCAGTTGTGCTCAAAACACAGCGACAGACGAATGCATGCGAGGCCAAGCCAAATGGGCGCAACCGCGCGACGGCTCCGACAACCCGCCCAGAGCCCAGCGCAGCGGTCCCCGCGGGCGCCTCACCGTTGTGTCCTTAGGTCCCTCGTACTCCGCGTATCTGGGCACCACCACCATCACGCGGTGCCCTCTTGCGGCCAGCGCCGGCGGCAAGGACCCCGCCACGTCGCCCAGGCCCCCCGTCTTCGAAAATGGCGCCGCCTGGACACGCACCCAAGCCCCAGTCCCTCAGCCAAAACACTCCCCCGCCTTCCAGATTCCCCCCCCACCTCCCTCCAATCCCCCCATTCCCCCAAATGATCACCCCCTCTCCCTAAAATACATCACAAGGCGCAGCTCCCAGCCAAAAGTGCACCGGCACGCCGACGCACACCCCGTCACCCCACCTCCGACGTCACGAACACCACGCTGAACGTCTTGCTCATCGCCGCCCCCCCCCCGTCCTGCGCCAGGTGCCGCCCGGACTCCGTCAGCGTCGCGCTGGCGGTCACCCGTGCCCGCACCCTCCTCCCCCCGTCCCTGGCGCCCGCATGCGAGGGACCCGCCGACCGCGCCTCGGGCCCCCGCGAGCAGGGCCTGGAGCCCGGATGGCCGGACGGCATCCCGCCCAAGCAGCATGGTCGGGATCTCGAGCCCAGCCAGGAGCCGGCCGAGGGGCCGATCTCGATCGGCGTGGCGTTCATGGAGCGGGGCGCTCCCGTTGGAGAGCTTTTGGGGGGGCGCGGAGGGAGAGAGTCGCAGGGCGGAGGCGGGCCGCCCGGCTGGAGCTTCTTGGTCGCGGCGGTGAATGTGACACGGGAGGGGGAGGGAGGCGGGGGCGGGGCGGGAGAGGGGTGTGCGGCCACAGACGGCTGACGGTGGGGCGTCGCCACGTCAGGTGAGCTTGTGTGGCGACGGGGGGCTCGTTTGGCCGCCGCTTCGCGCCGTTGATGCGCGGGGTCGGGCGCGGTTGATTGGGCGCGCGACGCCCGGTCCGAGCGAGGCGACCGTACTTTGCGTCCACGCTGTCTGTTGGGTGGTACTGGGGTGCGCGACTCCCGGCACCAAATCGGTGACTGCTTGCACCAAATCACGTGCACACTAGGTCCTCACCTCGATTTTAGTAAAGGACGGCGGTCCACTCTGGCCGTCATCCCCGGAGATAGCGCAGCCCAATCACCCCTGAACGAGTAGCTGAGCCACGTCGACAGCACCTCATCAGTTGAGGGTGCACACAATGAACAAGCTTTGCCCCTCGCGCGAACCGGTTCTTCACGAAGAACTGATTATCGCGGCGATGACAACGAATAAAAATAGCAGCAATGGCAAGGGAAGCTTCATACGAGCGGCAAACATCCCATTGAACGTCAAGCGTGCAACCTCTCACAACTGCCCCCCAGAGGGCCACAATTGGTCGTAGCCACTCCCAAAGTTTAGCGAGGCCAGGTGCTACGTGAAGATTGTTGGTGTGGGGCTCTTGCCCTCTTTGACCCGCGGACCCGCCTCGCCGGGCACCTAGGTCCTTACAGGGACCTAGGCGGGACCACCCCAACCTATTCCCATATCGTATAATATCGCTAAGCTGGTTGGGGTACGTCACCATACCTTGGGCAGTAGACGTGGCCCCTTCTGTCCGTCCACAACAGAATTTGGTTGACTCCGTTAAAATTCCGTACAGTCAACGGAATCCATGAGCGGGCCACAGAGAGAAAAATTGTCTAACAGAAACAGGCGGGGCCATGCTGACGTCAGCATAGACAACTACATAAATCTACACAACCTTCCACGATGGAACCACGTGTTACGGAATCCTCGCCGGCGTGAACGGAGGACAGGCCCCCCATAACGGAACCGCTGACCGGACCATAGAGGTCGACAGAATTCCATCAAAGTTTACGGAGCAACACAGATCTATGAAATGCACTGAACACCAGTACAGAAATTCCAATACCGTTCCGTTGAAATTCTGTAAGACGGGCAATCCCAGAGGCTTGTACTTTGGCAAAGGTGATGGATAACAGCCGCAGAGCGGGTCCCGTTCCCGGACCGGACGGCCAGACGCCTAGTTGATGTGCAACAGGTATGCATGGCGGACGTGGGGTGCGATTGCCTGGGTCTTTGATGGATTCGGCAGTGCACGTTGGTCGCCCCCGTGGCACATCCATATGCCCCTTCAAATCGTTGTTGTCCGTCACGCAGGCAGAATGTATGCCCAAAGCGTTCCCAAGCCCAGTACATTCGATTGGCTGGCATGTGATGTATTGCCCCTGGGGTATGTGAAGTGCTGCATCGGGGCCCCCCACTGCCAGTTGCCCCCATGGCGTCGGTACCTTCAGGTGAGTGCTACGGGCACCGTGCTGGTGGTGATGGCACCGGTGGGGCGGGGGGATTACTATTCTGCTTGGCTAGAGTACCGGCCACGGTTTGGCCGGGAAAAAAAACACTTTTGCTGGGCTCGTGGTGTGTATGGGCGGTTGTTGCTTCTCCGAGATCGTGTTGGGGTGGGGCGGGGGAATTGTTGTTTTGCT